TGAGATGGGGTCCAGACCACCCAGAGCGGATCAAGGCACAATCATGCATTACCAATCGGCTGTTCCACAAGGCTGTAGACGACGTTGAACGTCTTATCATCATGTGTCTGCTTGAGTTGACTAAGTTGCAAATGAGTGGACTAGGTAAGGCTTGACAATACATTTCACATTTTTAACACTTGTCTTCGCAATATTTTGAGCACCAGCGTGCTAATGAAGAGATTCGTCGGGCTGAATGTCAAGGTTGGACGATTACTCACAAAGATGCAAGATGATGCCATTGATTATCCCTGCGCCATCGCACAACTTCTGTCCAATGACCCACCCCTTGCAGCCGAACTCCGGCGTTGCTGGACACAGCTTTGGTCCATCAATGCACGTCACATTTGGCGCATGCCGCAGATTATGCAGCTTCCTGGTTACAGTGGGCCAAAGAGTCCTGGCACTCGTGTAGGTCTGGTTGATGTTGTGTGTGCTTATCCCTATGAAGCTGTACCACATGAACAGGATAGAGAGGACGGAGATGGAGATGACACAGAGCTTGGGCAACAGTTGGAAGACGTACAAGCTTACATTGAGGGACTAGATCATCACCGTGTGGACTTAGAACTTGCAGAATAGTAATACCATTGTTTTGTAATAGATTGCAATATGCCTTTGCTGGATTGTGTCATTGGACCATGAAAATGAAACATCTGGAGCGCTGCACATATTTGAATTCAGTAACTCAGACAGTATGCTAATATCAAGTGAGGATTTACAATGCAGATTTGTGGTATATAATTCAGTACTTGATAGAGTGAGTCACTGTATCATTACAGCACAATATTAAGTTGTTCTATTGTTGCAGTGCTTGCACTGCAACAATGGATTGTGACTTATATTGTGCTGTAATGATACAGTGACTCACTCTATCAAGTACTGAATTATATACCACAAATCTGCATTGTAAATCCCCACTTGATATTAGCATACTGTCTGAGTTAGTACATATTTGTCACGCTGCATCTTACAAATGCCATTGCCTCATTGCAACCTAAGGCTGATCTCAGTCATCGTCCATCATGTCCTCTAACCTGTTAGACTGGAAGTCCTCTACATACAACAGATCTCCTACAGTTGGCAGCTTTGAAGAGTGCAAGGTTCTATTTCCTTGCCCTGAATATCTTCAATCAATTGCTGGATACGACCGTCACTGGAACTCAGCACTATTATCTTTGGTTACTCATGGATTTCACAATGATGACGGGCATCTAGAGCAGAACAAAGGCTTTCATCCACTTACTAGCGAACACTATCTCACTGGGTTTTCTAAATCTCAGACGGCTACAGAGGAGCAGAGGATAAATAATTGGCGGGCTCAAGCGATTCATGCAGAGCAGATATTGCAAACTATATTTGACCTGGCAAGTGTCATCTCCTATTCAGACCTTTCCTTCCACTGAACTGTATGTTCAGTGCACCACTTTAGATAGGTTGACAGGTGGTTCAACAATTGTCCTGCATCATCCTGGCGCTACACCTCCATCCTTAGACATCTCTCCTGAGAACCTCAAGGCTGAAGTCTATATCAATCCCAAAGTGCTCTCGGAGCATCGTGAGCTTCACTCGGTCGTCGCTCAAATCTCTCAACTCTTCATCGCTGACTATGCGACACCTTTGGCCCGAGCCTTCGCACAAAATTGTATTCACAACAATTGGAAAGGCAGCGGCCCAGTCTCTCAAACACCTTCAAAAGGCAAGACAACATCGAAAGGCAAACAAGTTGAAATTGCACCTCTTATTCCCTCACCTATTTCACCATCATCGGCACATTTCACTTTTTATGGACGTCCTCCTCCAATATCTTATCATATATGCCATCCTACGACAGCAGAATTACGTGGAAGCCAACTCAGATCCAATTATTGCATACTCGGGAGAGCAAGGGTTATCAGGTCCGCAAAGAGGGACCAAGTAGGAGGGCTGTCGTATCAGCACAGGATCACAGTGCACGTCAGGTAAATTTAAGTTTGTTTTCCCAGTGGAACTATCATCTAATTGGTCACTCAGCCAACAACCCCTGCTGTTTTCAACCAGTCCTCAAGCAGTAGCCAGGCTGAGAGATGTTACCCTCCGTCAAACAGTGATGATAAATGTTACCCTGCTTCAACAAGTGACCAGGCCTGGAGACATTACCCTCCTACAACTCCTATGAGGAGCAAAAGCACATCCTTTGAATTACCCACACCCATGTCGATCACTGCTAGGTCCCCATCTGATTCGTGGCATTATAGTATGCTGGCGCTTGTTCCTTTTGGGAATGAAACAGAGGTAGTCCTAGAAGAGCTAGGCTACCCAGATCATTTTCATCGGGTCTGCATATCAATCGGCAAAGATTACCTTCCGAAGCAGTGGTTTTTGAAATTGCAGGAGGTCGCTGAGATCTCGGAGGAGCACGTGGAGGCTATTGCAAATGCTATGTTGACTGATTCTTAGGTGTCACTCTCATAATACTTTTTGTAACATTTTTTTTAATCTGGCCTTGTATGATTTGTTTAAAATGCTATTCAACCTCTCAGCCTGTTACCTCATTCCCTGTCAGAATTACTGTGATGGTGCTCCCAGGAACTGCTCGCTCGCACAATCCTCGCCGGTTAGTTCCTCGAACACGCGCCCTATATGTCAAAGTATCGAAAGAAGTACGTCAGCAACTAACAGAGCAATGACGGGCTAAATGCCTTGACGAGGACCAACAGGTTCGAGCCGTTCTCAATTACATTAATGCAAAGGCCACAGATTTGGCATCTAAGTTCAAACAACCTCGATGCTGCTACCTTGAGAGGTTATCGCTTGGTTCTGTTGTCCACCACCGCAAATGCAACAAGACAAGTGCCTGGTATGCCTATATGCACTTCAAAGGCATCCAGAACAATGCCAGTAAGTTTTCCTCATAGTACAACTACTGTGTTTGTCGCTAACTATGGCTGTTCTAGACAAAAGCTTCAGTGAGAAGTCAAACATCGCCAATCTTGCAAAGGACGAAACCGAGTACCACCAACTTACCACTGAGGAGAAGGCGCAGCTTATAATTGACTTTGACAAAGTCAAGAAGAGTTCTCGGGATCGTCCTCCAAACATCACCGCTAGATCATGGGCTGCTAAATGTTTCCGGAACTTCCAGTTGGTGAGAGAAGAGGTGTGTACTCGCTGCCTTACCTTTGGTTGTCTGTTTGACTAATACTTCACGCAGCTTGAAGCTCTCGAGGAATGTGTTGGCGTTGAAGCCTTCATCGTTATGGTTCGTGGTGTTTCCAACTTCACCATGGTGCCAAAGGCATTCTTCACAAGCCCCACAGCTGAACACTTTGTTCCTTTATATCTACATAAGGACATCGCGCAACTGGCAACCAACCTTGAGAGCACAATACTGGCCAATGGCCTCATTATGAGTTCGTACTTAACTATTTTTTTCTATACACATGGTTTAACCTTGTTGTAATCTAGATGTGGCTGCTAATCATCGACAGCATGTTTCTAATGCGAAGACTGCCATTTGAAATGGTATTCGTGCATCACTTTGTAAGCCCCCCTTTTTTGTGTTTAAAATTATCCACTGATTCATTGCAGGTGAAGTAACAAATAATCCCTCAGCGGTAATGGAGTTCAAATGCTATAATGATCTTGTCCAACACTACCACGTCAAGCTTGTAGGGTGGAACCACCCTAAATGGGCCAATCCATCTGACCTGAAAGGCGGTATCGAGAGCCTCGAGAATGTGGTCCTTGCGATTCAGGCCAATACATGTAAGTTCATAAAATCACACCACAAGAAGCCAAAGAGCAACAGCGTCTTATCAATGATGGTGAGATACTCACTCCTGACCTCGAGCCCCCAATGCCATCCAACTTGCCTGCTCCTGATTCAACACAGTCATCAACGACCAATGTTTGGACATCACTGCCACCACCATCATCCGACATTCCTACTCCCCATTTGACTCAGTCACCAATGGCCAACACTTGGACATCAATGCCGCCACCATCCAGTGTGTTTGAGTCTGAACAATCTGCAGATTATGATATCACACCTGCTCCCATGACACCCACTGCGGCTTCGTCAGAGCCTTACATGCGCCCCTCGTCGATTACAAATGAAATGGTGGATCCCATTCTTCGTGCACTTGATCATGGTAAATATATCTCTACTCTAGTGTAAACAATGTGTTGATGTTGTATTTCAGCCGCTTCTAACAATGGACCTCCCATAGTGCAGTTGCCTCCCACTCCTCCCATGCCTACTCCTCTTCCAATGCCCGATGAAGCACCAGTTCTTGTCACAGCAACCAACAGTAAGCGAACTGCAGATGGTTCACCTGCTGGCAGCTTACGTTCGAAACACGCTCGGAAACTGACTGAGAAAGGCCAATCTGATTAGAGTCAAGGAACCACACATGGTGCAGGGCAACAAAGAAGGGGACTCGGCGCTCGAAAAAGAGTAGCACACATGTTGAATCCGATAATGAAAACATCTAGAATAGGTAGATAATATACTCAGAGTTAGAGACGAGGGAACACACACAGTGCAGGGCAACAAAGAAGGAGACTTGCATTCAAAAAAGAGTAGCGCACATGTTGAATCCGATCATGAAAACATCTAGAATAACTTGGCAATATACTCATTTCATTGGCTCATCCTGTCTGAAGTAGTACAAGCTCGCTGTCTATGTATCAAGCCTCTGTACTTAGCCAATTGCCCCAAGAATCTACAAGGTCCCTCACACAGAGCGCTGAAGTACTCGTGCCATCGTCGTACCGTCAAATTAAAGAGCCAAAGACTGCGACAGTGTTGAACATGTTCCCAGAGTTGGTTGATTTGTCGCGGGGGCTATATGTGCAGGAAGCAGAGACAGATCTGGTTCGTTGATGTAGGAACAGAGATGGGTGTATAGTCTTCGTGTACAGAGTATGGATAATGTATAGTCACTGTAGTGAGCATTAGCAGCAATGAGCAGGTTATAAAGTTTTGTACGTTACCTTGTTGATTTGTCGCGGGGGGCCATGTGTGCAGGAAGCAGAGCCAGATTCAGTCCGTTGATGGAGGAATAGAGATAGGTCTATAGTCTGTGTGTACCGCCAAAAAATGCTGGAAGAAATGGTAAAATTTGGCAGGAGGTGGGAGCTCATCACGGTAGACGGTGAGCACGTTGTTTGGCAGGTGTTTGCGTCAGCGTGACTGCCAAAATTGGCCTGGGAAAGACGTACCGGAAAGAGAAGTCAAGGCTGTTTGAGAAAACACTCACAAGTGACTGAAAGAGCTGGGGCGCACTGCCGGTGCTCGATACCAATGCAAATAAGCTTAATTAAGTGACAGAGAGAGTGCGGTCAGGCCACTTTACTAATTCAGATATGTGGGAATCATAGGTGAATAAAATATAGTGCACTATTGCGCAAGACATATCCTTTGGATTAGAGCTGGAGTTTGTGAGGGAAGTGGAAGAATTTGAGAGAAGTGTCTGTGGAGATGTGAGTCTCTACAATGAGTCCCTTGCGTTGGGACGACCAAAACAAGAGCGCAAGGAGTCAACCTGCAATGAGGTTGCTGACTCCATCGGCAAAGAGAATTCAGCATCGAAGAAGCGGCCAAAGTCTCTGACTCATGGAGCATCTGCAAAGTGAGTGATATATCAGTCATGTATCAGTCATGTACTAAATAACAACCATTAGAAATCAACATGTTTGACTTGTTCCAACTCTCTGAGCTCATCTTGTGATACAACTAGGTCTCATATTCTACTTATTTAGCTATTTTACATTCTTGATCTCATACACAAGCTTCTAAAATGCCAAAAATTGTCCTGCTGGTGTTGTAATATAAAATTTGTCAGCATATGTTATATAAAATGTCTGGTTAGTAAAATCAGAACTGTGGGCGGCTCAGACTTCAATCAAATTTTCTGTGTATCACAGTGATGTTTGGACTTGATGAAAAATGGCAACCGCGGTGGGATTTGGTAAAAATACAGAAGGATAATAAGGTACAAAAGGCATGAAAAGGATAAGTAAGCACAAGGAAGCAGAAGTAAGGTACAAAACCTATGTGACAGGTACAAAAGGGTACTGAATGCATCCAAGGTCCCCTGTCCTGTTTTTGTGGGTATTGAGAGTCATACATTAGTGATATATCACTACAAGTGGTAATTAAATTACAATGATTCATGTATGGCAATTAACTGATGATCACAATCTATTTAATGTATGATTATGTCAGTATAGACTCGACCGTGGGGCTGGGATTCAAGAAGGAGCCTGCTGGTGTGTTAGAATTGAGCAGTCTCAATTTAAAAGCCAAGTTTCTCGGAGTATATATGGTCATATTTAGCGGCAGCAGAATTAGATCCGTCTACAATCGCCAAGGCCACAACGCCAAGAACTGATGGGTTCATTGATGACAGATGAAAAGATGAAGGATATAGGGATACACATACGCAAAAGCTGAAAGGCAGTACTTCTTTTGCAGCCCGGTCACTTATCGTCGTCCGCTTTGGAGGCACAAGTCACATAACAGACGGAATTGAGTTGCGACACAGTAACGAAATCATTGGAAGAGCACAAACATATTGAAGTACACGACAGCAGCCAACGTTCAAGAACAAATTTAAAGTCAGAGGTAAACAATTGGAACACAAAGGAAATATCCAAAAGATCATATCTCAAACCTGATCGATGCTGAAGACTCCGGTGGAGGGCTCATACGTGATGTTCCACGTAGTATTGTCATCTAGAGCAGCAAGATCTTGTTCGAAGAGACGATCGGTCTCGACTTGACCCTTGATCAAGCTGTTCTCCTGGTAGTCCGTGCCAATATACCCGCGTAGAATCGGAGTAAACTCTGCGTTCAACTTCTGCGCGTGCCCTACGCCGCGCCAAACTAGAGCCGTCTTTGGCATGGCCCCGTCTTGCTCGATGAAACCTGAACAATATGTAGCGCGAGAAATCTCGAGATAGCAGTTATACGTACCGACCCCTATATCCTGTTTGTATGGTGCGCTGTTCGTACATTGAATATTCTTCTTCGGCACCAATGGGTCGGTTTTGGGATCCTAAGCTTGTCTCGCAAACGGACATCGATAATGCCAGTAGGCGTACTTACGGAAAATTGGTATACCTCGCCCTTCTGGGTTAGAATGGTAGATTGCCCAACCTAAGTAGCAGTCCGTGAGATCAACGACAAATTCGTGAATCCATCCGACTCTCACGTCGATAGAAACCTCGGTCGAAGCACTTTGGATGACGTCGTTGGAAACAACAACCTTGGTGAACGCAAGTCTGAGGGGTTCATCGTAAATTAGCTCTTCGCACAAGCTTCGAGTCGCCCTTACTGTGATCGATACACAATTTCGCAGTGGTAAGCGCCTGCAGGTGTCGGTGCTTATTTAGATAGCCCAAAGCAGTGATAGTATTCACCCACCATCGGCCGCAAATCTCCTGACCCTATTCGAAAAGTCACATCAGCGAGTGAGCGCGACAACAAAGATGAAGACATGAAGGATATACGTACGCAAAAGCCGATGGGTAATACTTCTTGTACAGCTCACCGATAGGCTGATCGTCGAAAGTCAGAAGAAGGTCGATGTCTGCGCCGAGATCCTGGGATTTGAAGGTGAGCTTTTTGACGAAGGCATTTGAATCCATGGTGTAGAGTCGAATTCGAGATTGAAAATACAAGAAATTTGGCGTTCGACGTTCAGACGTGGCCTAATAATTGCTGAGTCCACGCGACGGGTTATATACCACCCTCTGGAAGGACAGCGACCCTGTATCCGTAGAGATCGAATGTGGAAACTAGAAACGGAGAGCCTTTTTCAGGTCAAGTTCAGCATGCTTCACAAACAGCTGACCATTGTTTCAGAGTCCGTCCGTCGACGTACGAAATGATTCTTTTGACGCGTTAGCATTCGCCACTGTGAAGGGTACAAGTGACATACAGGAGCGATTTACGAGACTTCGAACCATTATGCCGTTTGATGAGATCTGCTGGTCCTTGTTCGGAGTAGAGTCATGAAGTGGTAAAGAAGGGTCGTATTGCAACTTGAACTCGATCTGGTTTTCACTCGACTTCTCCGGTGTTACGAGCGCTCCGAACGTCAAAAATGGGATAAGACAGGGTGATGATGATCGGACGCGATTGAACCAAAACATCCACGTGATCGCGGCGGCAATCAGTTGACATCGAACCGCCCTTTCTGCAACTCATGGACGCGCACAACACCGCCGACCACACCTACGCATGCCACTCCCTCGTGTCGGATGTCAGCTTCATTCCACCACCTAATACCTCTTTGTATAAAATATGTCTGTAATCCATCATGCTAAAGAATCAAATATCTTCTTCGGAACGCGAGCAGAATCGAATTCGGATCGGCCGTGCAAGGAAACCGACTTTTGGATTTTCGACACCAAAACACATTTGACGATCTGTTCTGGATGTCCTCAGGATCATGTATACCGCCACATCCCCATGCATCGATTCGGAACTGTCTTAATACCGGTTGTGGATCTGGGGTCAACGTGTACTACAATTACGAGGATGACCTCAAAACGTGAGCCATGCGGATATGATGCGGCCCTTTCCTCCTGATTCATAACTTTACTCATAACAACTACAGATCCCTCTAAACGACTTGATACCCGAGCCCCGTCAAACCTGCAACGGATCCTTGTATGTCACTTGTACCCTTTATGGCAGTGGCGAATAATGTGTCAGACGGTCAGCTGTTTGCAAAGCATGCCGAACTTGAATCGAAAAAGGCCCTCCATTTTAGCTTCCACATTCGACGTCTACGGATACAGGTGGGTGAACATTATCAGTGCCTTGTGCTATCTAAATAAACACTCATACTGACAGGCATCCACCGCGCGCATATTACATATCGATCACAGTAAGGGTCATTCGAACTCCATGTGGAAAGCTAATTTACAATGTGCCTCTCAGACTTGCGTTCACCAAAGTTGTTGTTTCCCATGATATCATCCAAAGTGCCTCGACCGAGGTTGCTGTTCAGGTGAGAGTAGGAAGGACTCACGGATTTGCCGCTGGTTTCATGGACTGCTACTTAGGTCGGGCAATCTACTACTTTAAACATGAACAATCAAATATTCCATTTCTCCGTAAGTACGCTTACTTGCCTTCTCAATATCCGTTTGCGAGACAACCCCAGGATCCCCAAACCGACCCCTCGGTGCCGAAGAAAAATATTCAATGTATAAACAATTCACCGTCCAAGGAGGATATAGGCGTTGGCACGTATAATTGCTATCTTGAAATTTCTCGCCCTATATATTGTTCAGGTTTCATTGAACAGGAAGGGGACGTGCCCACATCGGCTCTGGTTTGGCACGGCGTGGAGCACGGGCAGACGTTGAATGTGGAATTTGTTCCGCGTCTGAGAGGTTATATTAATGCTTGCACCTACCGGCAGAATGGCTTGATCAAGGGCCCAATTCACAGTAGCTGTCTTTTCGACCAAGACCTCAGTACTCTCGATAAACATACCACGTGGGTCGTCACATACGATGAGACCGCCAGAAGTTTTAGGATCGATGAGGAGATAACGAGCGAGGTTCAACATTGCTTTTCATGAACCTTTTTCAAATGTTGGCTGCCGTCAATTACTTCGTTTTGTGCTGTTTTGATGTTATTATCTTGTCAACTGTTCCCGTTTGTTGTACAACTCGTGTTTTCAAATTAAAATGTTCCAAGTAGTTCCTGACCCGTCTTATGATACAGGTGACAAACATCCTTTATACCAGGACCTGTCACAGTAGTAATGGTTTAGCAAATTTAAATGTCTGTCTGGCAATGTTAGTGTTGCCACAGCTAGCGCCGGCTAAAGCCGGCTCTGATTCTCGGGCTTGACCGAAACTCACAAGTCACGCTGCTTACGTAATCGAAACTCGGTCCGGCTTATACAGCCACGGCAAGTAGCTGCAAGCTGGCTCAAGCCTGTGTAGATAATTTTGGCGTAATTTAAATTTAGAAACATTATCGATCAATTATCGACAATCCAAGTAAACGACTTAGTTCCCAAGATCCTTCACATACAACACAAATGGCACCCCAAATGGCGGTACATTGTACCTTTGTGATGTTTGGACGTGTGTTAAGTCCAAAAATAGGTCCATATCGCACACGCCAGGAAAGCCAAGCAGGTGACAGCAAGGAATGCAGAGATGTTGGGGGAGACGAGAGGTTCGCAGGATCGAGAAGTGACATTTGTTTATGTGTCGGGGCATCCGTCGAGGTTTCGGATTGCGTTGGCGAAGGTACTCGGGTTCAGGGTCCGAGAGAATGAGTGAGTGCATTCTACAGCATATCCTAAAGATGATTGAACTATTTCAGTTAGTAGCAACAATAATGTGCATGCAAATGCAAATGCACTGAACACCATGCTTGCTCCGTCGAGGGATATGAGGAATATAAGGTTGGTCGTCTCCTTCTGCAATGAATCCCCCATCCCCTTGTCCTCTCCCTTCTCAGACTTGCGATGACGTGCGTTCTGATCACTACCCCTAGGATGAGTCAGTAGTTGTACAACAGAAATGTGAATGACGCATGCATTCTGCCACTTTCCGTATCTTCACAAGTAAGGCGTCACCATGCGCAAAAATTATGAACACATTCTTGCGCATCTCAGTGCCAGTAGCAGGATCAACAAAGAGCTCTGTGATATCCGCGTGATTCATGTACAGGTTACCCCTTAGGACACAAACTGTTTCTGACGCGAAACGGCACAATCAGAACCCTTCTGTTAAGCAAAGCTGCACTCAAACAGCAATTCTACGACAAGATCAAAGGTGAAGCCACCCCAGGTACAAATATACCTGATTATCACCTATTCAAAAACCCTCCTACTTATATTAATTGGAGTATTACCCTCCCTGCCAAACATGACAGCGAGCCTCTCACTGCATTGTATGAGGATCTCCAGGAACTGCCCGCTAATCATTAGGCCGAGTCAACACTCCCTTCTTGTAATGAACTTGAGCCAATATTCAATGATAATCTTGAGTTTCTCGAAGCCTGATAGAAGAGCTCCCTACCCCCTCCCCTTCTCTTCCTCACATATTCAGCTCCAACCTCTTGTGGTCACTAGTGCTCCCTTGTTGAACCTTGTATCTCAGGATCCTTGGCAGGGGGCTGATGCCACCTTCAGCTCTACACCTTATCCTTCCCATTTCCCACACACTCATCAATTGCCCACAGAACCCTATGGCCAGATCTGTGTCAAAGACAAGATCTATACTATCCTGAAGATTCTCTTTACCACTAAGAGCCTTGTTGGTCGTGGAACTGTCTGTTATCTGGTTAGTCTGGATGGAGAAGAATACATCATCAAAGATCACTGGGTCCAGGGTGGCGAGGAGAAAGTTATGAATGAAATTAACATGCTAAATATGCCTGGTGTTCCAGTGCTGGTTGTACTCATCATACACATGTTTGCCTCATAATAAATTCCTGTGCTTGCCCCTTTCATATGTCTTGAATGCTGAAGGATTTCATGAGAGTGATTAGAGATATTGCTATCAGTAAGTTTTATTTGATTGTACACGAGTCTTGCATTGATTTACTTGTATTCTAGTCCAACACATGGCAGTAGAACACAGCATTTTGCATTGTGACTGTAGTTTTTACAATGCGATGATCATATAATGATAGCAATGGGCTATTGATTGATTGGGAATTTGCTGTATATATTACTTTGAATGATGAATATTATATTGGTGGTACAGTAAGTATATTTCCCTTGAACACTTGAAATTTTGTTAACTGGTTTATCAGGGCATGATCCCTTTTATGTTGCACGCACTTCTCACCCAAATGGCAAAATTGCAGACCAAGGCAGCACAGCAAGAAGCATGCAAATCCTCTTCCAAAACTTTGGCGCTGCCACCATCTCATGCTGTTTGACTGGCAAACTAAGCACACCAAAGTAATTAGACTTTAACTATTCTCAAGAGTGATGAACTTACTCCAAGATCAGTATCCAATGGCACTGCAGAGCCTTGTGGTGTCATATTGGAGAGTCCAGTGCATCTAGTATGCTGGTAAGCCTCATGTTTGGCAGCCTTAGATGCCTTCTGACGAGCCTTCTCTTGATGTTCCTGGATTTTGGTGGCCTGCTGGTGCTGGCGATTCTCTTTATCCTCGAGAGTCTCAGCTTTAAATCCAATCAATACAATGTCGAAACAAAGAACAGAGGCATCTTACATATATATTGGGCCCTCTTGGTAGGATGGCGATCATGGTGGACTGCTCCATGTTTGACTGCTGACATTCTGGCGGGAAAGATATAGTGCACTGTAGATCCAAACAATTTAGGAGGGAGGAAAGAAATGACAGAAAATAATTTATGTGTCATACCGAAATTGCCCAACAGTTGCAACAGAGCATGTTGGGATGTTAGTCTAAGACATATGCTGATTTTGCACTGAAACCATTGTAAATGTGCAAAATATATAAGAAAGAATCTACCTTTGTGCTAAGTCTCCTTGAATGATGTCATATATGAAGCAAAAACCACGCTGCAACTTCTGTCTCAAAAAGCTGAGTCAACACAAAGACGTAACCTTACACATTCAAAATACTCCAAAATGTCACCAACAATGGGACCTCATGGTCCGTGTTTCTCGTTGATCATCTGGACAGTCAAATAGCCAACCCAAGACCTCAGACACATTGACACTTCCAAACTATGACTATGACATACCTGAAGATGTTGTCTATGAGTTTCCTTCTATATTCAGATATGAGCCCGACAATGTGGAGTCCCTGGCAGATTCTGGCCCACAATCAAAATGTGCAAGAGTAGAAGAGGTAGCAGATGAAGAACCCACACAATTTGCAAAGTCTTCTCATATCATGCAGCAGACATTTTGGGAGTTGGAAAGACAGTGTTCAAAGGAATTTGGGAGGATCAGATTGATGCAGGTCTGGAGGAGAATCCATGGGCACTGTTTGATGATGAAGATGAGTGGGGCCTCGCACAGGGACTTGCAAAGCAAGTCAACAAGACCACAATTGATGAGTTCCTCAAGCTCAGCATTGTAAGGGAATAATATGTCTTGGTGTGCATCTGCTAATTCAGACAATACTGCCTACTAGACAAAAAAGTGAACTCAGCCTAGCTATACAAGCAACTACACATTCCAAAACAAACTCAACAAACTGCCCAAAGGTCCTGGTTGGACTTGTAACATTGTTATATCAACAGGCAATCAAACAGATGGAAACAAGGAGTTCATCACCAAACAACATGAACTTTGGCGCCGAGACCCTGTAGTGTGCATATGTGAGTTGATTGGTAATCCTTCATTCAAGGATTCTCTTGCATGCGTACCAGAGAAAGTATACATGGACTCTGAAGGACAGACACAGGTGTATGATGATGTGGACATCTCTGCCATCTTGTCACGGATGCCCTCACGTTGCTCCTCAAGTAATGTCAGGAGGTGTTCTCTAATCCACCTCAGTCCCATCAGTGATGGAACTGAGGTATGATCCACCTGCTCCAGGATTGTCAGACCATTATTCTCAATGCCATCCTAGAACAGATCAGTCATGAATCAAGGAAATGGAATAAGAATCTTACTAGCCAATGCTGGTAGTGAAAGATACAGCAAGTCATCACCCAATCCCATTGCCATGGTTCGTTTGGGATTGCAGTTTCTCCCATCCACCATGGAGTATCATAGCCGGATACAATCTGGGATGGATCTCCAGGATCTGCAACGTCATGAAACAAACAGATGTGATAGGAAAAGATGTGATCCAGAATTGTATTCCAGGTGTGACTGAGAATCAAATGAAGAATATGAGCAATAGGGCTGGGAATGACCGAAATGATGTTCCTGGCAGCTGGGTACTGGAGGATGGGTGTGACAAAAGTCTGTGGAAGATGTCAGCATTAACCGCCAGTGTTGTCAGGGTCTTACAGTGATCTCCCATTGCAGCCTGGCTTTGAAGTGCCTGATCCGAGCCAAAGGGGGAAGATTGTTGTTTGCAGCCTCCACCTGATATTGGGAGATGGATGCATGGATGCGTGATGCAGACATCGACTTAGTAGCTGAAATGTCTGCAGGAGTGAGAGTGAGGGGCCAGTACTCATTGAGTGAATTCTGATTTTCAGAAGTGGATGCAGGAGAAGGATATAATTCAGGCATGGCTGATGCAGGAGTATCACACTGGCAATGACAATGACAGTTGGTTCAGATGTGAAGATATCATCCACTGATAGATGGATAAATTTTTCAAACTCCAACATGGGCTGACCCAGCCAATTCCTGGAACTAAATTTGTATATCGAAATGGTTGTTATATCTCATCGGCAATAAACCATTCATTCATCTCGGGAATCTATCAAAACGGTCTGCAGGTGTTGAAACGCTGCCTGGACATCCTGCACCAGCAATGAATACATTCGGGATTGCCTTCCGGAGTAGCATGCATGACCTGGAAGTCATTTCATGAATGATTCCTGCATCCGGTCGCCCCATTGGGTTGCTTTCCACAAGAAAAGTTACATGTCCAATCCATCTTGAATTAGACCAACATCAGCTCTTCCTTCCATTGATCCCATAGTGCCTTTGCCTGGAGCCAGTGAACTCGGTAAACTTCATATTCATCCGGTCAGCTCAATGTTGGACATGTCGAGCATTCCTCATTCCATGATTGATCTGGACCACACATGTCGACCTCGACAGACCAGAACCAAGCGAGGGATTCATTTCGTGGACCACAGGCATTTGGATCACCCATGGCAGTGCTGACTTTGAGCTGCTCGTGAAGCAGGGGTTTGTACTTCTGAAGTTGGCCATGCTCTGTGTCAAGTTTCATCATTTGTGTCCTGGTCTTGGTATATATACTCGGATGCAGGAAGACAGCCTGCTGCACTGACGTCACCTGCGACCAAGCTCAAGTTTTCAGGGCTTGAGATTTGGCTTGCCTGACCGTCATTCGGAATAGGACTACCTTGTTGCACAAGTGAATGTGGAGGTTGTGAAGTGCATCATTTGCCTACCCTTCGCAAAGGGACATCTCCAGTGGAATGAGATCCTCTGCTATTAGGAAAAGTCCATGTAGAAACATTTGAATGTCCGGACTCATGGCATTTGGACAATCACAGCATTGAACCTCGAGGCAATGAACTCCGGACTTGTCGACAATGATCATGGTGTTTTCCTTAGGCTGGAACTCTGGTCCCGACACAGATGGTAGATCTTCAGGCTCAAGCTGGCCTTTGGGTTCGTCTCCTTCAAACAAATCCCACCTATTTGCGAGTGCAGGAGATTCTTTGCCATCATGACCAAGGTGTATGATGAGTCTAACATGAGTGAGACAACTTTGCTCAAAGAATTGACCATTCTATTGACTGATCCAGTGGAAAAGATTGCGATGATGTTGACTTCTGCAACATCCCGTGCAATAGAGTGGCTCCCCAAGACAATCTTGACATTTGTAGACCCCATCCTGGTTGCAGACAACAGATCTCCTATCTTCTGGAGGAGCTTCTCGATCCAGGAGGTGATGCAGATATGATTCCTGCCTTGGGAGCGATTGCCTCAGGTAGTCATTCTGGCTCTGCATTTGTTATATTTAGCAAGATTTGAATGACACTCCAACAGTTTACATTCAGCCATTGTTTTTGGAAGCTGCAAAGGCTCAAATGAGCCTTGGTCTTGCTCATAAGTATTATTAGGACAGTCTTCCCAAGTAGGTAGTGCTGGAACAGGCTGAAGTGCTGGTGATTCTGGGGGAGAGTTAGGCATGGACCTGTAGGCATGTCATCTTGTGCTTGCAAGGGGGACCTTGACCCAAGTTTTCCTACCTTTGCTGCCCCTTGCTTCTACCCTGTGGGATTTTTGCAGTGGAGTGCATAGACCTATCTTCATCTTATTTTTGAATGTTGCAAGAACAGCATTAGCTCAGGAAGGTCGCACAAATTGTTATTCCAATGCTATGTTTGTGCAGTATTGGTTGTTCATTACAAATTTATTTCCATTAATGGCATCATGTCCGATATGGGTTGATTAACCAACTGTTAGGCTTTGGTCAAAGTTGAACTTCGAACCAATATTAATTATGCCTTGCTTACCCTCGGCACATTCACCAATCAGAGTCACCATGGCAAGATCAGGTCATTCCACTCACTTGTCTCCTGGAAGCCATAGGGCACATCAACCCCAGACACAGAAGCTCACCGAAACCAAAATTTCCGAGCTGAAGAACTACCTTCCTGAGTGGACTTCTGCGAAAAGGAGCAAGAAGTGGGCAGTTTTCACTGCAATTGCCAGGCCTGCCAGGTTGTTTGCGCCAAAGGTGGACCAAGGGCAATGGAAAAAGAGGGAGCAGGTGATACATCCTTGTTGCGATGCGAAACAAAATTTTTAATGTCTTACACTTCCTTCAATGCTCAGATGTACAAGACTTGGTTGTTCAACAACAAGAAAAAGAAGGAAAGGAAGGACATGATAAAGTATGGGAGGAAATGGACACCTAGGATGGTGATCAACCAGCAGAATTGGGAAGAGGTGCTGAAGAGGATTGAGGATGAGTCCAGGGCAAAGCCAGGAGATCCTGGTATGTTCAAGCATTATGAGGTGGCTGTGAAGAGAGTCATGGCTGAATTGTCTGACGACAAGTTGGAGAAGGCGAAAGAAACTGCTGAAGAATGGTCCAACAACTGTCCTCCTCCCAAGATACAAGCACAGGTCGCCCGTAAGAAGGGACCTGAATATATGGAGCACTTTTTGAAGGAGATATGGAGGCAATGCAGGATGAGAGTGTTTGCATTGTCAGCTTGGAAGAATGAACAGGGTGAGGTGCTGTTCGGGATGTAAGTGAATTTTACTTGTCATTGCAGATCTTTCAACTCAATATATTTCATGCAGGCATGATGATAATGAGGCATTAGGAGATGGGGACAGCTTCATGAAGACAAAGGACTGGGAGGACATCGAGACGGTGTGACAGGAGTATGCGCAGGAACAGTTCGGTGAGTGTTTATGTAACGATTCCACATGTCAAGACATGTTAAGTCCGACTGTACGCCAGACAGCTGGGACACCAGCCAAGCAAATTTATCATATTCAACGGAGCTTTCGTCTGACGCCGGCTGACATGATGATGTCGAGGATGAAGGCAAGCCAGGGGATGGTGATGGTGGGGACGGTCGTAGTTGAGATTGGGGGGGTGGAAATGATGGTAATGGTGGAATGAGTGGAGGGTGAGTGGGCGCCGCTGTTGGTTGCAAAGTCTCCGGCCGAGTGGGCATGTAGAACAGAATGCTGTACAACTTGCCATGGGATGAACACTGGTCGTGCTGATTCTTGTCTGCAACATGTTTGTACTGTTGCCGATGACCCGGGTTGTACTGAGACATAACGTTAGTCGAGGAGTCGAACGCAACCTCAATAAAACACTGGGGAGGTACTACAGTACATTGTAAGTATGTTTGAATTGATAAGAGAAAAAAATGCACCTTTTGGCATTGTTGAAAAATTGTTGTGAGGACCGCCTGCTAATGCAGGTTGTAGAGTAACCAGAATCCCAGGGCAAAGTATTTAAATGTGCGTGGTGGCAATTGCGAACACGTGTTTATAATATGTAACATATCTTATTGAGTATAATGAGCATATGAGGTTAGAATCGCAAATTGAATTAGCCGAACTTACTACGTGGGCAGGTCTTATGATGTTCTTTGTCCCTCAGTTCGAATGAAACGCGCACGGCATCAGTGGCCTTAGGGAATACGCCAGAATGAGGATAATGGAGGCACAGGCAAGCATTGATCCGCATGACTCGAACTCAAAGGAGGATCGACACACTGCGAGCGGCAGACAACGACTTCGATCAGCGTGGCTCAAACTCGAACGAGGAACATGAGACTCACTCACTGCAAACCACGGGCAACAACTTGGATCAGCATGGCTCAAACTCGAACGAGGATCGACAGACTCACTCACTGCAAATGCCAGGCAACAGCTTGGATCGGCGTGGCTCAAACTCAAACTAGGATCGACAGACTGCGAACACTGGGCAAAAGCTTGGATCAGCGTGGCTCGAGCTTGAAGGAGAACCAATACACTTACTTTTTCGGTGGAACTTGAAGGTAGGTGTTGAAGAAGATGGAGGGGCGTAGCATGCTATAGTAAGCAGGTGTAGTAAGTAGCAATAAAGTACATACTATCCATCCCGGCTGAGTCGTCACCCGTCAAGTAACACTTTTGTCACAGTTGGTCACAGCTGCCATTTCTAAGCCCGCTCAGCGCTCAGCAGTGCATCTGACCCAGATGGCAGCTATCTCCGAGTCAGACAAGTCGTCACAGCCATTTGTAGTATCCGTTTAAAGCTCCGCCATGGCAACGTTCGGCTGGCTGTCACCAGTGTAAATCTTGCGTGACTTTGGCTGCTTTCTTTGGGGGTCACTACTGGACAAAAACAAATTAAGACTTGAGTTGACCTGAATTTGCCTAAGATACAGCAGCTCATAATGAATCATGGCGAATCATGGTGTATGATGACCTAGGCATGGTCAAAAACTTACGAAGGAAAACAAATGCAGGGACCTTAGTGCAAGATCAAGGACACGTTCAAAACATATTTTGACCTTGGTTTAACGATTCACCTTCCTATTATTACTAAGGCACCACTCCGAGTCTTGGTTTGAGTTTCACGTACTGTAGGCTCACTGGCTCAGAGCTCAGCACTTCATCAATCATCTTTTACTGTGCATCAGAGAACCTGTGAGAAGAAGATATTGTCATATATTGTTATATATAGGAAAGGTTTTCATCGCATTGGAATATAAAGTGATATAAAGCAAAATATGACTATGTAAAAGCACCATAATCAGCATAATCCCCAGCAAGAACTCACCGGTTTACCTGCTGAGTAAAAGGGTGTAGCCGAAAGCTGGTGGATGGCAAAGTGCTGTTTGTTAGCATCACTCTCAGATGTGCACAGGCCATCGTCACGGTGGTTGACGATTGCGGAAGGTGCCACACTCGCATCTATTTGTGAGCTATCTTATTATACGTTTGAGGTCACCAACTACGATACTGTCGATCAACCTGGTCTTCCAAACCCATAGCGCACCACTCAGAATCACAGGTATATCTCCTGCCAACTGATGGTTCAAAGACGCATCCAAGATGTCGAATGTCTCCGAATCATTCATCTCTATATAATCCAGCCGCATATCCACTGCATCTATGGCAGCCTGTGCTTTTACTTTGTCGATGACAGAGACAGCTTTTGAAACACACCGATCCTTGGATTCGCTGTTCGACCACGCGGACTTGGCATATTGTAGGGCCTGCTTGCGCCTTCCATCTGATGTCTGTATCCCTTCATCTCGACGAACGCTCCCTTTTGTGTTGAAACATCTTGGCTTATACCAGATGGATACATGTCCTGGACTGAGGGTAGAAATATGGCAGAGGCTTTCCTCACAGTCTCGCCCACAGTAACCTGCTGTGCTGTAAGGAGCTCCAGGTCTCCTGGTAAGGTGCGAGGGTACGTGGCGAGGTCTTCATGCGGGGCAAACTGGGGTGGGTTCACAAAGATGGAAAGAACTGTGAGCTCATTTTTGGCCAGTGACCTCTGAACTGAATCGCATGGTTTGAGATTAGTAAGGAGGTATTTTTAGACTTCAGAAAAGAAGTGTGTCAGATGTGCTCACCAAGAGACAGATGTCCGTCGTGAAGAGCTCCCATGAAGCCCACAGATTTCCCCTCATCGAAGGCTCTCTGTCCCCATTGTCTGTATGATGCGACCAACATTAGAAGAGGGATGGGTGATGGCAGAAGGGTGGAGATTGATGTTGACATTGATGGATGAAGTGCCTTGGTGACAGAGCGCCAGATGTTGCACTCACAAGGAGGCGGTCATTCTGAGACAAGGTGATGATATAGACTGGCCAGCTTGTAACTTGGCTTGTGGGATTAGCGAAGGACGGATGTCTGCTGCATGGTTGGGTGAAGGAGGCTGAGTATTTGAAGCTCAAAGAACGAAGTAGTAGATACTCACATGTGCGTTTTCCTCTCATAACACCAACAATGATGGGAGAAAACACGCTCAACATCGACGGACGTAGCTATGAACGCAAGGTTAGAAATAGTAGTAAAAGAGAAGAAAAAACATGCGCACCTGGAATGGTAAGGTAATCAAGATGGCCTTGGTGATCAAAGCGGGTGGAGAGTCAATTCGCAAGATTTGTTTAATGACAAAGACCAATGTGTGTGACCGGCCGAGAGCAAAGCCAGCAGTTCCCTGTGAAACGCGATAGCCTCATCCATGAGTCGCGAGGTTATTTAATGACATGGACCAATCTGTGTGACTGACCAGGCATAAGGCCAGCAATTCCATGAGAAGGGCGATAGCCTCATCTAAGTCTTCATTGTTGCCTCGGTGGCAAAAGCAGGAGGAGAGTCGAGTCGCAATGTTGTGTAATGAAGGGGCCGATCTGTGTGACTGACCAGGCGCAAAGCCAGTGAGTCGCTGTGAAGTGCGATAGCCCCATCCAAGTCTTTGTCATTCCCTCAATGGTCACAGCAGGAGGAGAGTTGTGAGTCACAAGGTTGTTTAATGATACGGACCGACATGTGACCGACTGGGAGCAAAGTTAGCTGCAATAACAAGAACAGATATGTGTGACCTACCGGGAGCAAAGCCAGAACTTCCCTGTGAAGCACGATAGCCTCATTCAAGTCCTGGTCGTTCCCTTTGTGGTGAAAGCAGGAGGAGAGTTGAGTCGCGAGTCGTTTAATGACATGGACCGAGGTGTGACTGACTGGGAGCAAAGTCACAAAAAAAAGGTTACATGACATACCCGTACCCATGCCAATGCCTATGTTCAAGTAAGGATGATGGGGTATGAGGGAGTGGAGGTGTCAATCTTGGTAGAGGCTCAGGGACCGGATAACTCGGAGTAAAAGGGCACTTGGACTGATAGGAAATAATGAAAATCAGTACGCCCAGCGCAATCCAACTTGAAATGCACCATACTCACAGAACCTTCGCCCAAATCCGCCAAGTCCCTACAATAGCTATGATTGCCACTGGTAGTGTGGCCTGTGAGTGTTTGAGTGGTTGGCATTGGATGCGATGCCACAGTGACAGAGGCTAATTTCTCCACCTTTGCATGCACTTTGGCTGCCAGACGCTTTTCGTGAAGCTGTACGCACTTCTCGTAGGCACGGCGGGCTCTGGTGTGCATTGCTTTGCACTGGTTTTGAGGCCTCATCAAATGAATAGCATCAACATTATGAGCTCCACACACACCACAATCATATTCAATGGATGTGCGGCGCTGAGGAGGCATGATGGCCGAAGTCAATGGCTTGGGTAAGTTGATGGTGCTGGTCTTGGCACACTGATTAGTGTCGGGAAGGCAAACTCACCTGAGTGGGGGGGAAGGAGTGAGTGTCGTTACAGATGACCTTGGATGTGAGCATGAAAGCAGATATGAAAAGACGGTGACATGAAGATCCCTGAGCAGTGGGGAAGGAGTGAGTGTCGTCACAGATGACCTTGGATGTGAGCATGAACATGGATATGAAAAGACAGTGACCTGAGGATCCCTGAGCAGTGGGAAAGGAGTGTCGTCACAGATGACCTTGGATGCAAGCATGAAAGCAGATATGAAAAGACGGTGACCTGAAAATCCCTGTGCAGTGGGGAAGGAATAAGTGTTGTCACAGATGACCCCATCAGGAAATCACTGAGTTCCTTATTTGCTCCTTATTTTCCTTAATTCGCACAATAAGGCAAGTTTAAAATAAGGAGAACAAGGAGATCTATTTCCTTAAACTAAGGAAGATAATGAGATCAAAAATACTGTTATTGTGACACATAGAATAAGTATGCTAAGGAGAATCCACTAGTTCAAGGCTGCTAAGGTGAATCCACAAGTTCAAGGCGGCCTATGAAAATATCCAAGAATGAAAATGTATCTGAAAACAAGCAACACAACAAGCGACAATGATAGCGGGAGCAGGAACTGGTAATATGCGATTAATGATATGGGGGGAATAGCAAGTGCGCATGTACTACTACTAGTAGCCAATTAAATCCTGTCAAATATATAACATCAGAGTGAGAAAATTGAGATAAAGAAGAAAAAATTACAGATGTGAATGTGCTTTTGTGGATTCACGGGGACATGGCTTTCACTGTCGATAATAGTGTCCTCGTCTTGAGTCTTGTGGCACGGCCACCTCATCTATGGTTGAGATCGCTCCACAATCTCCTTCACGTGGTTGAAGGGCAGCTCTTTGATCCACTCCATGTAAGCAAGCGTGTCAGTCTCCCAATTACCTGCAGAAAAAGTGGTACCAGTATTGCTCATTTTGTTGGTTGCTTGATTGAGTGTTAATGCAATCTTGTGTTTCCCATGGTCTGAAGTGTTTTCTATGATGAGGTCGTCGCGAGCCAAAATAAGTGCATGTTCGGCCTGCAAATCACTAGTCAGTAAAGTTTACAAAGGGGGTAGTAAACTCACAGTGGCAGTAGTCAGCGCCAGTGCTGTCTGGTATCCAGGTAAGCCAATGTCGAGCGTGTCTATTAACTGGTGTCCTTGGATGACATTAAGGTGTGCAGCAAATATATGCAAGATGAACTCGGATAAGAAAGCTCCAGGTGAATCTTCACTATCTGGGTCTTCGTAAACAAAGCGCGAGTCTTTGAGTTGATATTCTGAATAAGCTTTCCGTGTCTCCAGCATCTTGTATTCATCAGTCCAGGCAAAAAACACCATCAATATGGTGGTAGCAGTCGAGCCAAAATTCTGTGCCACTCAGAGATCCTTTGACAGACCTGCACATATAGTCGGGTCAACTACTAACACAGAACAGAAACTCACTCACCACATTGAAGGTGCCATTACTGCCATCAACCTCAAAGTCTCCCGGTTGCTTGTACACTGAGTAGTAGATATTGTGGAGAAGGTTTGAGAGTGTGTCGTCAGGGATAGTCCACGAAAAGTTGCTGTTTCCAATCCAATACATGACTGTTGGAATGAATTTTGAGCACCATTCCGAGTTCCATGCACCAATAGGCAAGTGTACATTCTTCAGTTTTCCTTTCTTGATGTTGCGAGACCGTGGCAATTGTCCAGTTTCAGTTTTGATGGGCTTGTTTGAATTGGCTGTCTCCACAACACCGACCAACATCTGCAGGAATATGTCAGCATTCTTGTGCATACATCTGTCAACTCTACCCTACAGAAGTTGTGAGCCGACTGCGACTCATTGTTTTGCAGACCTATGGAATCCTGGAATCATAGTAAGTGATTCTTAGAAGACCCAATACTAGGCGACTTACCTTAAGGTTGCCCTGCTCATCCATCATGTGAACATCACCCTCTGCATCCTGATATTCAGCATCTTCATCAGCCTCCGGGTCTTCCTGCATTTTGCACTGTTCCTCAGGTTCAAGTTCTTCCACTGAGATGGCCAATAAGGCACACTTTCTTCCTCTTGGTGCACCATTGATGGCCTCAAAGATGTGTACAACACCCTGCTTTAATTTTAGTATATCCTGTTTGCAAGCAAATTTGCTTACCTGTGCACCACGACACCTGGTCAAGTTATTGTCGAAGTCTAAATCTTCGGATACATTGTCGTCGTCGTCATCAAACAGCTCAAGCCACCCTGGATCGGCTGAAAACAATGTTAGTTGTTTTCTTGAAATATAACTGTACATACCATTACAAGTATTTGGTGGCACTGATGGCTTCAGCTGGGACTTTGCAGCCATGCTGTTAGCCCATTTCCCTACTTTCGCTCTCTCTGAAGGTATGCTACTGAGGGACTCAGACCTACATTTGAATGAGTAGAGCAAATCAAGATAATGAAGAGTGAGTTCTGATAGAAGCAACATCATAATTCAAATTAGGAACTTACATTGACTTGGAAATTTTCCCATCATCAGTGTTTCCAACACATGTCACGCTCACAGCCGTTACACCACTGTTTGACACCTTTCGACTGGCATTGATGCCATCCTTGAAGGCAAGATTTAGACCTGGATGCTTCTTCTTCTGGATATCGGTGTTTTGGGTTGCTGAATTCTTGGCCCGCAATGGCTGTACTGAACAGTAAGCACTCCCTGCCATGGATATCGTAAAGGTTATGCTTACATATTTCATGCCCAGTAGAGGTGACGGCCTCTGCTGCGCTCTTGAGGGTCGACGCTGGTTTCTTCATCACTGGGCATGGGGCTTTGGCTTTGGTCGCACAGGTCGCCCGGGGACGGCATGCTGAATCAGTTGCTCAACAGCCATCTCGTCCTCCTTTGATGCAATTTGCTTTTGAGCATCCTTCAAGGCAGCAGCCTTGGATAATTTCTCTGCTGCCTTCTTGTTTTTTTCAGCTGCAACTACTTCCTTTGGGCGTGATACTCAGTTCGCATCAAGGACTACTTGTCCAGGATGCTTATTAGCATTGCCAGGGCGCGTCGCAGGTCGAGACATGTTACAGAAATGCAAGGGGCATTATAGGCTGTTGAGGTAGAAAGAATGTGACTGCCAGTAGAAAGCTCGGAGGTGATGAAGTAAGTTTTTTTTTCATTCTATTCAATTGAGTGTGTCATAATTTACAAAATTCACACACATAGCAGTAGTTGAAATTACCTCTTAATGCACCATTTTTTGGTGCCCAGCCCATTCAAGTCCATTGGTCAACATGGCCCTGGGGATCAACAGGCTCATTTGTCAATTTCTGAACTGCAAGCGTGTTTTCAGAAACAAGTCAGGCCTCACTCAGCACATACATGCCAAGCATCCATTACCCCCACAAACTCAGGAAGAACTCAATTGAACAGCTCCACCTGCAGGTCCCGGCTTTATGCCTCCAAGGGAACATTCTCCCACTCAAGTGGAAAATTGGGGTATCGACAAGCAGGATGATGCAGGGTTTGTACCTGAGGAAGGCACTTGGGTGGACATGGGGCATTTGTTTCAGACTTTCCATCCACACATGACTGGTAAGTAAGTTTTTGAGGAGTCTTTCATATTATGTCGCTCATATATTTATTTCGTGACTTAGGATGCAAATGCGATGTTAACAGTACATTTATCAACCAGGATGTGCCCCCGCTGCCTCGTACAAATGCCCCATCAACTGACTGGATGCCATATAATGATAGGGTCAAATTCAAGACTGCAGAGTTTCTATTTAAATGCAACCAGATGTCCGCCAAACAAATCAACACTCTACTCGACTTATGGGCCGCAACTCTGATAAAACATAACACCATTGATGCGACACCACTCGGGGATGTCCCCTGGAAGATGTTCTCGGTGTGTTTCAATGGAATCAAACCCAAATGAAATGTGCCACCATGGATGAATGTACAGTATGATGTATGGTATAGAGACCCACTGCAAATTGTTCACAACATGCTCGTGAACCCTGCCTTCGACAGAGGCATCAAATACTCACTGTACCATGATTACACCAGTAACAACAAACAATACTGGAAATACTTGATGTCAGGTGACTGGGCATGGAACCAGGCGGTATGTTTTCAGATATTCATGTTCAGAGCATACTGACAATCATTTGAAGGACCTCATTGCCAAAAACCAAGAGACTTATGGTTCAACATTTGTGCCATTGATTATTGGCAGTGACAAGACAGTTGTATCTGTTGCTACAGGCCAAATAGAATACCGCCCGCTATATCTTTCCATTGGCAATATCCACAATAGTGTATGATGCGCACATTGCAGAGGCATTGTTCTCATCGGGTTCCTTGCGATACCAAAATGTAGGTACCCACACCTATTATTTGTCCTGAATTATATACTCATTTTGTTCATTTAGCTACAAAGGAACACAACAGTGATACTAACTACAGGAACTTTTGACACCAACTCTTCCAGCGGTCACTCGCCAAAATTTTCGAGTCTGTGAAACCATTCATGGAAACTCCTGATGTCATGCACTTCCCTGATTGTCACTTTCGACGAACGGTATATGGTTTAGGTCCCTATATAGCTGATTATCCAGAGCAGGTGTTGCTCTCTGGCATTGTGCAGAACTGGTGTCCGCGGTATGATTATTTTTTCTTTGGTTTCTTAACGACTCATTTTTTTCATAGGTGTCTGGCAAACAGCAAGGACCTCGATGGTGGTCAACCATGTCTGCATTGACATGAAGTGCACACTGAGCTGCTCATTGAACAGCTAACATATAAACAGGTTTGGCAAGAGTACAGTATTATTGGTGATCTTGTCGTATGTTGTTTCCTCAAACTTGGGGCTCAATCTCACTCTTCACACCACTAGCCATTCACCAATGATTATCCTCGAGTGGACATCCACGAGCTCCTCTTGCCAGATCTCTTACACCAGATAATCAAGGGAACATTCAAGGACCACTTGGTTGACTGGGTAGAAAACTATCTAAATATCACACATGGTGCTCGCTGTGCAGCCAAAATTATGGATGACATTGACCGCAGGTATGTAAGTTATTGTATTTTTGCTGGATTTCAGCAGTGGACTGGTGATGACTCCAAGGCCTTGATGAAGGTGCACAGTAGTCTTTTCTTACAAACACTGTACAAGCTGACTCGTATTCAGGTGTACCTAGCTGCAATTGAGGGCCATGTCCCTCAAGACATGGTGTGCACATTTGGTGCATTCCTTGATTTCTGTTATATTGTACAGTGCAAAGCTCTTACTGAAACTGACCTTGTCCAAATCCAAGATGCCCTTGACCACTTCCACAAATACCAGGAGATCTTCAAAGCAACTGGTACTGTCACGACATTCTCACTACCACGCCAACACTCTCTGTGTCACTACATACTACTCATTCGACTTTTTGGGGCACCCAATGGCCTTTGTTCTTCCATTACTGAATCTAAGCACATAAAGGCCGTGAAAGAACCCTGGCACCACTCTAGCAGGTTCAAGGCACTTGGTCAAATGTTGCTGACCAACCAGCATCTAGACAAACTTGCAGCTGCATGCATGGATTTTGAGGCACGTGGCATGCTTCACGGCTCTTGCTTATCTGAGGCTTTGCAAGAACTCCAAAGGTGTATGTGATCTTTTGAACTGACAGTTTAACCATACTCACATCCATAAACAGGTTCAAATGATCACAAGGACAGTGAGTCAAATGATGACATGGATATGGCACTTGAGCGTCTCCCTGGGCGCCTCCAGTTCCATGAACCTCAAAATTAATCCATTGAGGTAGATGCTGGTGACATTCTTGATGGACCAACCATAGTAGAATCCCACATCGAACTTGCAGTGACACCCCGTGAGTCAATTTATTCACCTGTTGACCCTTTCTGATAATGCTTAGGTTGTGTATGAGATGTTTGTACACTTGGCGTTGAACTCAACCTTCTGCACTTCCCTCTCATAATCCAAGAATTCATCCATGACCAGCAACATTTGGACAACCCCAACCCTCCCAAATATGATCCCATGACAGCTCAATTATTCTTGGGGAAGTTGACCATCTTTAACTCTGCTGCAGCATTGTTCTATGCACCCAGCAATCTGAGTGGTACTGGAGGTATGCACCAGGAGCACATCCGGGCAACACCATCATGGCATGGTGGCCCTCGCAGGAACGACTGCATCTTTGCTAATGTGGGCACCAACTTAGACTCTCATATGGGTGGACTTGCAGTTGCACGGGTCTTGTGCTTTTTCTCTTTCAGCAATCGGACATCGCATTATCCCTGCACCATTGTTCATTGGTATTCTCATGTACTCAAGGGACGTAATCCTGACACAGGCGTGTACATTGTCACTCCCACAACAAATGATGATGACACTCCAGATGTCTCTATTATTCATGTCGACAGCATTTTTCATGCTGCCCATCTCATTCCAGTATATGGATCAGACTTTATTCCTATCATCAGTCTGCATGACTCATATGACATGTTCAACTCATACTACGTCAATAAATATGCGGATCATCATTCTTTTGAGATAGCATGATTTAAGGTATGTAATTGTCTGCGTAGATTTCAGTGTATATCCAACTCACATGTTTCTTAGGAAAGATCCGCCTGAGCTCTATCTGTACAGCAAAGGTGACCCAGGCAGATGGCCTTAATCCTCATTATCTGCCTGTCAACCTTCATTGCATCATTCAGAATGACACGTAAGTCTTCCACATTGACCACCGTCTTCTACAAGAATTCATATTTCGCCAGGCAGATGGCCTTAATCCTCATTATCTGCCTGTCAACCTTCATCACATTATCAGAACATCATGCAAATCTTCCAGCCAGATATGCCATCACCAAGTTATTCAACATCGACGTCTCTAGCATCAATGGCATCACCCCAGCACTCCCGGGCATGGAGGATTGTACTGCACGCATTGTCTCAGCTTCATCGTCTACAGGTATACCAAAACATGAGCCAGTGCCAGTACCACTGTCTTCTACAAGAATTCATATTCCATCAGGCAGATGGCCTTAATCCTCATTATTTGCCTGCCAACCTTCATCGCATTATTCAGAACACCACGCAAATCTTCCACATTGACCACCACCCACAATGCTGGATATGCCATCACCAAGTTATTCAACATTGACGTCTCTAGTGTCAACAGCATCACCCCAACACTCCCAGGCATGGAGGACTGTACTGCACACATTGTCTCAGCTTCATTGTCTCCAGGTATACCAAAACACGAGCTAGTGCCAGTACCACCGTCTTCTATGAGAACTCATATTTCATCAGGCTGACGGCCTTCATCCTTATTATCTGCCTGTCAACCTTCATCGCATTATCAGAACGCCACACAAATCTTCCAGCTGGATATGCCATCACCAAGTTATTCAGCATCAATGTCTCTAGCATCAACAGCATCACCCCAGCACTCCCAGGCATGGAGAACTGTACTGTACGCATCGTCTCAGCTTCATCGTCTCCAGGTATACCAAAACACGAGCTAGTACCACCATCTTCTATGAGAATTCATATTTCATCAGGCTGACGGCCTTAATCCTCATTATCTGCCTGTTAACCTTCATCACATTATTCAAAAGCCACACAGATCTTCCAGCCGGATATGCCATCACCAAGTTATTCAACATCGACATCTCTAGTGTCAATGGCATCACCCCAACACTCCTGGGCATGGAGGACTGCGCTGCATGCATTGTTTCAGCTTCATCGTCTCCAGGTATACCAAAACACGAGCCAGTGCCAGTAATACCATCCTCTATGAGAATTCATCAGATGGCCTCAATTCTCATTATCTGTCCCTCCACAGTCACCTTCCCTCCACCCAACTACTGCCCACCATCCACACCAGTATCCAACAACATAACACCCTTCCCATTGTGCTGTAGATCAGCACTCGCCTTTCCGCTGTCAATTACTGCCCACCATGGAACCATCAAGGTAAGTTTTAGTTAAAATTACAAGACATAATGCTCACCCTACATGCGACATGTTCCGTCTCATTTCCTGCACGACAGCCACCTTTTCATCCTCTTCCAAAGCCCCAGCTTCACATCTGTCCCTCCTGCTCTTGCCTCTGCTACCTTTGCAGTCGCCTCAGCCATGATTGCAGCCTCTATACAAGCTGTCAAGTCATCCCACTGGTGCCTCCTTCCTTGCCTACGACAAGCGGATTTCGGAGTCATATAGCATACTAGCATCTCATCAATCAACAATTGACATCACTAGAGTAGTAGTAAATAAAAACTTACTGTTTTTTTTCATTCAAGTATAGCAGTTGATATTGTTGCTGGACACGCACTTATTTTCGAGTAATTGGAACGATAATAAATGTAAATAAACTATAAAATTTTTGTGCACTGAGTACTAGTAGTAGCCTTAATCTCATTGTTGTGCCTTCGCTGCCTTGACCGCCTTGACTGCCTTGACCTCCTTGACCTCCTTGACCGCCTTAGATTTAGCTTAGGTCCTTAGTTAAAGGTTTAAAAACAGTGCCTTATATTCCTTAACTGCGTTGACTGCCTTAGTGCTATTTTTAAGTAGTTTAAGAAACAAAAAGGAACCCAGTGATTTCCTGATGCTTGGATGAGAGCATGAAAGCGGATATGAAAAGACGGTGACCTGAAGATTCAGCAGTGGGGAAGGAATAACTGTCGTCACAGATGACCTTGGATGCAAGCATGAAAGTGGATATGAAAAGATGGTGACCTGAAGATTCAGCAGTGAGGAAGGAATAACTGTCGTCACAGATGACCTTGGATGCAAGCATGAAAGCAGATATGAAAAGACGGTGACCTGAAGATCCCTGAGCAGTGGGGAAGAAGTGAGTGTCGTCACAGATGACCTTTGATGCAAGCATGAAAGTGGATATGAAAAGACAGTGACATCAAGATCCAGCAGTGGGGAAGGAGTAAGTGTTGTCACAGATGACCTTGGATGTGAGTATGAAAGCAAATATGAAAAGACGGTGACCTGAAGATCCCTGAGCAATGAGGAAGGAGTGAGTGTCATTCCAGATGACCTTGGATGCGAGCATGAAAGCAGACACCAAAGACGGTGACCTGAAGATCCCTGAGCAGGTACAGATCAGATTGCTGGTCTACTGGATCTTCAGGTGACTGTCTGTTCATATCCATTTTCATGCTCACATCCAAGGTCATCTGTGACAACACTCACTTCTTTCCCACTGCTCAGGGATCTTCAGGTCACCGTCTTTTCATATTCGCTTTCATGCTCGCATCCAAGGTCATCTGTGATGACACTCACTCCTTCCCCACTGCTGGATCTTCATGTCACTGTCTTTTCATATCCGCTTTCATACTCACATCCAAAGTCATCTGTAACAACACTCACTCCTTTCCCACTGCTGGATCTTCAGGTCACCATCTTTTCATATCCACTTTCATGCTCGCATCCAAGGTCATCTGTGACAACACTTACTCCTTTCCCATGACCCATCCAAATGCCTTTGATCGTCTTTCATCATTGTGGAAACACTACTGGTGGTGAGGGATATAGATGACATAGTGATACATATGTCAATAACATGTATCATCTCATTAATTGATCATCACATGCAGCTGAAAAAAAGTTCACTTTGCAGGAGAAATCAGCTATAGCATATAGAATTTATTAATACAGGTAGCTAGAATTACTCTAAGGTACCTATGACCATCACTTCCCCCAGGTTATCAAAAGATTTTACGAAGATTTGAAAGTGCTGTTGAGAAGTTCAGATGTTGAACGAGATGATATAACACCAAAGTGGCTGAGATTAAGGTTTTTGCTTATGGTAAGCAAAGTGTCGATGTTTCGGCTTTCTCCATTGCAAGCCGGGGCATGCAAAGATTTGTTCATTTATTATCTCAATGAATTCCAGTCTCCTGTAAACATTGTTATTGTTGTATTATCTGCATATACATGTACACTATTGTCGTTATCATCATGATGTTGACTCAAGAGGTGTGCAAATTTGCAATATAGGATATACACCTCTCGCAACTTCGGAAGCCCCCCCCCCACCCCTCTGTCACAGTGACAGTAACGCCAATATATCCATATATGGTGACCATTCGATCATTTTCATCCGGACGCATAAGACAAAAACAATGTTAACAATTGATTGCAAGGGAATGGCGCGAGTACACAACAACGAGAACTACTGTAGCTTCCAGTGCACGCTGTAGAGTACAGACGAACTAATAGAAAGCATTTGTTCTGAAGCAATAGAGACATAATGAGCAATACAAGAAAGTAGTGATACAAAATGAATGCAAACGAAGAGAACATCAAGCAAGTGAGGTGGTAGGCTGCTGAAGTAAAGCACAAACAATGCGAGTACATTTTGCAGGCTTGTAGGAAAATGTCCAGATGAATCAGAATTATTCATGCTATGAGACGTGTAATCTGATTCGTGTTGTGAAATTTCGTGTGAGTCGTTACTGATGCTGGGGGCTGAAGTGTCGTAAATTAATGGGAACCGGCCTGCATGCGATGGACGAGTGTTAGAATACATAATGAATAAAAGTGTGTCTTTGCAAATGAGAGTTGGTGGGCCGACAGGACAGAGAGGGCATAAGAGTTGTAATAAGACGCGCGTTATTGATATCAGACGTGACTTGATATCGAAGTCACATGTTCTCACACATGACATCCAAAATACTGGATTTTAGTGAGCAGCGCCCTTTAACACGCATTTTTCATTAATTTAACTATCAAGATGTGTTCTACGCTAGCAAAAACTCCCCCCTCTTGGTCTTCAGTGAATGATTCTACTAACTTCTGATGCCGCTATCGAGGAACTCAGAACGGTCTGCTGGCAACTTCAAGTGGCTGTGTATTAAGGTTTAAAAGCTTATCTAATGGTGGGCTGTATGTTTGGCATTTCCCTTTTGCACGCCTCTTGTGTTGACTCCATATCAAGTCTCATTTTGAAGTCCGACAATGATGCCGAACTGAGCTACAATTAACTGACATTTACCGAGCTTGCCGAGTTTTGAGGAACATACGTTGAACACCACTAGAAACTTTCAGCTCACATGATAAGGTACGAGGCGTGATCTCATGTATGCAAACATCATGTTGATGGTTTGCATTAGACATGGTAAGTCTTACAGTATTGAGCATGAACATTTCGACTCACTTGTGAGAATCCCCATTCAACTCCTATGCCCATTTCAACACCTGCACCCTCACAGCAATTCTGGCGTCAGAGACGTCATTTTCGGCTCAACAAAGAATATTCTTGGGACTGGTCCGTGGACATTTACTTTTAAGATTCAGCTTTATAGGAGTTTATAGGAATGTATATTGTCAGCATGGCATATGGTGTCTATGCTCTGAATGAGTCTCTGGGTGCTGAGTACGCACCACTTTCATTGGCAGCCAGTCGCAAAACTCATGTTTGTAGTGTCATTATCTCACATCTCCCTTTTAACTCTAGTGTCACACCACTTGTGCCCCTTTTCGCATGGCCGACGGACTGACAGGCACATGTCCTCGATCGTTGGGGTGTCCAGGAACCAATACAATGGGAAATGTTCTTCTTGCTCCCAATCTGAATGAATGGTGGTCGTATGTTCGTCCCTACTGTTTCTTTTCCTTCTCCTGGTGCAAATTTGTTGAATGTAGCATGACCGAAATATGGAGTTTGTCGAAAGTTTGTCGAGAATAGTGAACCACTACTTGGAGGCACTAGTGACTGTGTATTGTAGGAGTATATTTAAGTATTGCTCTGGTAGCCTCTGACAGATCATAACAGATGGTATTGTCAAGTGCTCAGTGGACGCTTCGAGTGTATGCGTTCCTCCAAGCTAAAATCCACAGACCTATTTCTGATTGCCTCATCTCACGACTGACATGATCTATGCGACAGACGTCACCTGGACATCAGTCCGAATGGAACCTAGACCCTTGTATTTCACGTAGGCGCTCATACTTGTCTTGTAGGCATTCGAGGGATGGATCACAAAGGCGCAATTGTGCAGGTATATGTAATCACCAGGACCTGACAATTGATGCAAAACACTCCCCCCGAGGTGTTCGTCGTTCTGCAGTGTTTCATAGTAGAGAATTCTCTTTTTCAGTCTGCAACAAGGCAAAAACGATCATCAGGTTACCATTTACTGAATTACGCTACAGGCTCAACATCCGGAATTCCCCTCCTGATTAGTGACACTAGGTAAGGCTTCGCAGATTGCAAGAAGAATTGTGCTTTGCTTATCAAGGACTTCTTTGATCCCAACCAGAGCTCCACCCAAGACCACAAATTCCTGTGCGATCTTACCTAGGGATTGAGTCAATTCCCCTTTGAACGATTCAGATTGTCTGCCGAGGTTCCTGCGTTTCGATGGTGGGAGTTTCATGGCGGGCCCTGATGCTGCTCGCACATTGGTAATGTCGCTATGCACAGTCTGCGTACGATAGTGAGTACATCATTCACAGGATCGATGAAAAATTGAGCGCGTACTCACATCATTCTTGTTACGTATTTTGCATTTTAGACCTAATCCATCGACATCTTCGAAGTCACCATCACCAGATTCTGATGCCTAAATCAGACCCATCAGAATACTCTCGTAAAACCTGCAAATCTATGACATACCTGTTCGAGGTCTGGAGGTGAGAGCTTGGGGACTTTGTACCTTTCCATCTCTTTATACCTATAGCAGCCACAGGAATATACAGGGACGCCTTGCCCATACGCACAATATTCATGGCAGTCCTTGTGGCTTTCCGGGGTAGAACCCCTTGATTGATCGTCTCCTGTAGGAATTTCAATCTCGATGCTCGCGTTCATCAAGATGGCTTCAGCTCCATCGTTGAAATCAGATGGACGGGAGTCCATGCTACGTGAATCCCAGTCAGAGTTGAGTGACATTTCTTGTTGAGCAGCCTTTGAAGGGTAAGTCGCTTTATAGTTTCGGGACCAGTCTCCTACCCGGACATCTACTTCAATCTCATGCCCCGATTAGGATCTCCTGCCTTATATATCATGGTTTGAATTTTCCACTATGACCATATGTTCTGGTCGCTACGCACGATAGATGCAGGACCGAAATTTCAACAGTCCTGAAGGAAACCTGTTAGACTGGAACACGCGTGGCTGGTGAACGACAATTTTAGATACCGCACTACTCTGATTAAAATCTCATACTTAAGGTATGATTTATTCTGGGCCATATATACTACTAGTCCATAATATGTCTTCGTCATCAATCCCATCATCCTGTGGTCTTTTTGGCTCTCTTCATGGAGGCGGCAAGGGGTTCCCCAACAACTGTGCAAGCATAAAAAATGCTGAGCGCAAAAATGAATTACAATCATATCTGGTATGAATACCTTTCTTTCACTTATCCGCAAGCACTGAGTAGTTTGACGTAGATGTCTCTCGACGGACTTGATAGGGATGAAGATGACCAGGATCGGTTGTTCATTCAACTCAGCATTGACACCGTATATGCAAGTTACGTTGCAGCACACAACCGTGTTCAACAGTACACCCAACTATTGATACTTCTGAAGCGCGAGGAAGATCTATGGGCACAGAGAGTTGAGAAGGCAAGAGTTGTATTGCCAGAATACAACACTAGATGGGTGCCAAACTTGTAGCAGTCTTGAACCATTCTGCCACTGCTCCCTCCTAGTCGTCACTTACTTTTATATTTTAACAATGCAGTCATCGCCCAATTCTCACCATAGCTGGCCTTTTTTCTTCTTTTTCAATACCACTTCGAATGTACTGTTATGTACCGGATTTTGATCATACAATGTATCCTCGATGATGACAATAATATAATGTTCACTACTGGCATATCATTCTTGTAGCTCGAGACTCCAACAGCCAAGGTCATCAAGAACTTCACTTTTTGAGTCCTTCGCTCCGTGCCATTCAATTATGGTTCTTTATGGTTTGGCTGAGCCGAGGGACGTCAAACACTTCACTATTTGTATGGCACTATTGACGAGATGCCTAAATGAGGATGTATAGTAACAGGTTGTATACTAGCACTCAGTCTTTTTGCTATTGCGGCAGCCACTATAGTACTGGAATGCGGCTACTTCGTCCGCCCGGAATTCTGTTCATCAGCATCATCCTTCTAATGGTGTCCTGTGGTGCATTACGTTGCTCGTGGGAGAGAGAGACAGATTTTTGCGGACTCAACAGGCATCGTACTACGTGCAAGTATTACCAGAAAGAAAGCAAGTTAGCTGCCAAGAAGAGGTGGAGCCGTGCAAGAGAGTCGACATCGCAAAATTTGACCTCACAGCTCAACTCAACTGGCAGTAACAGTGTCAATTCTGTAAGCCACTAATCTACGTACTACTAGCCGAGTTGATTCACATGCCTTTCAATCTTTAGCTCGCACCTATCCGGTCTGTGAAGATTCATTCCTCGAAGTCTATAGCCTACTGTATACAGACAGAATTCCTGCCACCTGAGCCTGTCAACCAAGACAGTACCACTCACGCAAGTGCCTCGATTTCTGCATCCAAGGACTTTGGTGTTTTGGATACTGCCATGGAGGATGCCACTGAAGGCTTTTCAGGTGTGTGCCATCATGACACTTTGTTATGTCTCCACTTTATGAATTACTAGTAGGCTCAGGTCAACATCCCTCGCAGGGCACGCTTATGGTCCCAAAATCTTTGGTTGACTTTCTGCCCGCCAACAAAGATACCAACCTTTCTGATTCGTCTGGACACGGCCCATCTACTCTCCCAGAAATTGACAATCCACAACAGCACAGAATTCAAAGAGTCCTTTTGACATTGCACAACTCTCTTCAAACGGCGTTCACTGCGATTGGACTCGGTCGAAAATACCCTAGGCGCCCCTCATTTGAGCCTGACAAATTCATTCCATCCTCGCTATTAGCTACAATGTGTCCAACAATTGCAAATGAGCACAATACTCAAGAACTTGACCCATCACATGGGGTCTCTGGACCACCCTATCCCTTCGCCAACATGACCATCTACCGTCTTATCATGTGGATGAATTCTGGTAGCCATCACAAATCAGAGGCAGAGGTATCATGTCTTGTTAAAGATGTGGTCCAGGCGGAGGATTTCAATCCCAAGGATCTGGATGGATTTTCGGTAAGGAGGAGTCTGTGCGCGTTGGACGATAACGGCGGAAAGGGGACTATCACCTTTCCGGATGACTGGCGGGAGACGGATATCACGATCGAGATACCTGTGAGGTCAAAGGAGGACTCATCCAGGTCATTTACCATCCCTGGCTTCCACTATCGCCCACTGGTTGCCGTGATTCGTTCTGTGTTCGCTGATATCCAAGCTAGTGCATACCATCAGTTCCCTTTTCAGCGCGTGTGGAAATATCCCCTAGATGGCCATCAAGAATGCGTGTTTGATGAGCTCTACACCTCAGACTCCTGGTTAGATGCTCAGGATGACTTACATAGGCAGCCAAGAGAACCTGGCTGTTCGCTGGACCATGTTATTGCTGGACTCATGTTCTTTTCAGATGCAACACATCTTGCGACTTTCAGAATGGCCAAAGTGTGGCCCCTTTACTTATACTTTGGAAATTTAACGAAGTACACGCGCTCAGCACCAAAATCCGGCGCATGTCATCTTGTCGGTTTTTTCCCTTCTGTAGGTGAATTGCCTCCCGCACTGTTGTCTCTCTCACATTGAATTTTTAGCTTCCGGATAGTGTTAAAGACGTCTTCAGCACCTTAGATCAAATATCGAAAAGCGGCATGGCAGCGCTTCATACGCATTGTCGGCGCAACTTGTTTCACGCATGTTGGAATCATCTCCTGGATACAGAATTCCTTCATGCTTACCGCCATGGAATTGTGCTCTTGTGCTCAGATGGAGTATATAGAAGGATCTTTCCATGTATTTTCACTTACTCGGCTGATTATCCAGAAAAGTTCTTTCATTTTTTTCATTTCTTTTCATTGACATACCAATCATTTCATCAGGGTTTTAATAGCTACAATCAAAGATATGGGTTCTTGCCCATGTCCACGATGTCTCCTGCCGAAGGCTTCGTTTGACCTCTTTGGTCTGTTTAGATACCTGCAAGATCACCTTGCTAATCTTCGAACTTACTGTCTGGAGAGTGTAACCATGGCCCATGGCTTCATCTATAGCGGGAGAAATACCGTCAATGGCTCAAAGGTACAGTCGACTCTTGGCAAAGGATCCTGGGTGCCAACCGTGGTGAGTGTTCTCGAAGTTTGTCCTCTCATGACTACTAAGTACCTGATTTTCAACCAGAACACATTTGTAGAAAAACTAGGACCCTTCGGATTTAACGCCTTTTGCATGCTCATTGTAGATTTCATGCACGAATGCGAACTAGGTACATGGAAAGCACTATTTACACACCTCATCCGTCTGCTTTATGCCCTTCCTGGCGGTGACCGGCTGGTCGCAACTCTTGACAATAGGTTTGTCCTACGCCATTCTCCTGACTCAAAGTGACAATGTTTAATTTAGATTTCGCCACATCCCTTCATATGGTCATGGGGTTATTCACAAATTTGCAAACAACACCTCCGAAATGAAAAGGCTTGCAGCACGGGACTTCGAGGACATTTTGCAGGTTTGTTTTATTCGTTCAGTTATTGACATGTGCTATCTAAATCCTTCTTAGTGTGCTATGCCGGTCTTCGAAGGACTTTTCCCAGAAGACCATGACGCGCTCATACAAACACTTCTGTACAGATTTGCCCAATGGCACGCCCTCGCCAAACTAAGGCTACATTCCAAGACCACATTAAAAGTTTTAGATCAGACGTTCAAGAGGCTTTCCTGTCAGCTATGGAAATTCTGCGATCTCACATGTGCCGCCTTCACCACAGTAGAATTACCAAAAGAAAGGGCTGCTCGTGAGTGCAAGGCTGCCCACGGATGCTCAGGTGCCGACAACGCAGATGCTGGGAGTGGTTGCCGAAAGGGTAAGAAATTTAACATGAACACTTACAAGTTTCACACTATGGGAGATTATCTACACTCAATCAAGCTCTTCAGGACCACAGACTCTTTTACGTCGCAAATCGTACGTTAATCTCTATGTTTTCTTTACATTCCAATTGATTCACGGTCAGGGGAAGTTGGCTCATAGAGCCCTTAAAGCATTCTATCCGTTGATCAGCAAACTCGACACACCAGCTCAACTTGCTAAGCATGAAGGTCGTTGTCGAGTCCTTCGGCGAGTGGCAGGACATAATTTGCACTCTACAAAACAGCCACTGGTTGAATTGCCTGTCGGTTTGAAGGATCACCATTATATACCAACACTTTGCCACAATAACCCATTGGATCTGTTCAGTTTTCTTCAAGATCATGATAATGATCCAGCTGTGGCAGTAGGTGTTGCTCTCCTGATGTTCATCTTATCTGACATATTATGCAGGAGTTCATACCCAAACTCAAAGACCATATATTATATCGTCTTCGAAGCTTACATGTCAGCTATTGTGACCATACTTTCACAGATGCCGAGTGCAATTCGGTCATAATCTCGAATAACAGGCTCTACTCCATCCAAACAATGCAGGTATGTTATGTACATTATCAGTTTTGCTGGTGTATGATACTTCCATTTGACAGATTCGTTATATGACTTACGACCTTCGGTGCGAGTATGATACAATCAATCCTCGGACGTACACCAACATCATGGTCTTATCTGGGGAGACAAGGCCCTGACATCCATATTGGTATGCCCATGTTCTGGGCATTTACTACATGGATGTAATGCTCGATATCGAAGGTCCAACAAAGAGGCACCAAATCGAGGTCCTTCATGTCAGATGGATGGCGCCCTTGACCGACCACCATTCAGGGATAAACTACGCTCGACTTCCAAAGCTCGCGTTTGTCGAAGATTCTGATCGCGATGTGTTTGGCTTTCTTGATCCTAGCCAGGTCATCAGGAGCGCGTATTTGATTCCCGTGTTTGCTTCTCACCGCGGAACGACCTCTCTTCGCCACGGAAAGTCATTTGCACGACAATGCGGTGAATTGGAATACTGGGAAGCATATTACGTTGGCATGTAAGTGCACTGTTTCGTCCTTTTGTCCTCACTCTGACTGTTAACATTCAGATTCATCGACTGGGACATGTTTATGTGTTATACGCACTATGGTATCGGACATCGTACTGTTCTGCGCGAACTAGCAAGAGATTGTGCCAATGCGGACTTCATGGATAGTGCAGGATTGGAAGCAAATGAGGACGATGAGCGGGAGAGCGATATTCAGTCTCATCATATGTCGGTGGGGATGGAGGAGGGGAGGAAGATGAAGGTGACAAAGAAGATCAAGAGCTGGAGTGTGACAATGATGAAGAGTCTAGCGTCCAAAGTGACCTGGACGAGGAGGGGATGGAGGTTGGTGAGGACATAAATGAGGAGGCAGACGAGGATGACGATGACGACGACGACATGTTGTCTTTTTGATTCATAACTTACTATCTACGTATACCAGTACTAGAATTTTTGTTTTCATTATACCCCCCCTTACGCTTATATACTCTCCTTATATCCAGCTCTTTTCAGCTAAAATGAGCAGCATAATACTTAAATTGACGCATCACATGACAGACAAATCTAGGTCTGACGATGTTTTGCGACCTGGTTGTCTACTTCACCTTGCTCACAACGTCCAAGTCCAGCAGGTCTTTCGTTACCGATGGCTAACATACACTCATCATTATTATAGGGAAGCACTTTAAGTACTAGGAGCAAGTCGACTACTTCAACAACCCGGATGCACAACGACCTCGCAAGCCTCCACTGGTCGCTCAATACAGAGTATCAGACTCTCTCCGAGCAGCTGTCATACCTGCACAGCCCTCGTCCGTTCAAGAGTCCAAACTACACCAAAAATATGAATCATTGAACCAAGAACCTGAAAACTGTTCTAGGTCAGGAAAGGGAGAAAGAACACATGGAAAGGGAGAGGCGGAGACAAGAAGAGATAGGTGGGCGATGGACATTGATGAAGTCAAGAAAGAGCTTGTTGAGGTGAACGAGTAAATCTCAACTTGTGAGTTTATCACGGGTTTTCCAGTCGGCGAAACTGATTCTTAAAGATCTATCGATAGAAGCACCACCATGCCATTTTATCGCTTGATTCACCGGTTCTTGATTCCATCATTCCCGAGATGCTCCCCTGCCTATTCACAGCATTATAACACTACGTTCTTTCTGATGTCCCGATTCTGGTGACTCTCACCACTCCCTCCAAAGATGGTGCTTATGTTGTCCCAAAGGGCTACTATGAGCTTGCTTCTACTGTTGCAGCTAGGTTGACCACTGTATCTGGGCTAACCCCCATAAGGTGGGACCGACACAGTTAGATGATCCCGAGAGTGTTACTGCTCAGGTGTTCGAGACTTACTTCAACAAGAACGGCGAGAAGATTTTGGTGCTGTAAGTGAAGGCACTGAGAGCCCGTACCAACCTTTTGGTGCTGGGCAGCATAGATGCATTGGCGAGCATAATTACCTGCTTGCTCAACTGAATTTGGCTGGATAACGCCTACCAGCAGATCTTGGCGCTAAGGCCCAAGAACCAGAACCAGAACCAGAAGAAGAAGAAGAGGTTTGGACCTGAAAGGTACCAACCAAGAGGAGACAGAGACGCCATGGAGGTTGACCGCCTCTCAGAAAGAGAAAGGTCCAAAATGAAAGCCGGCAAATGCTTCATATGCCACCAGACTGGCCACAGAGCCAATGATAGGGAATATCACCCTAGAGAGAAGAAACCGGTCAGAGAGACCAAGCACAAAGAAGAAGAATCGGACGATGAACCTATGGATACCCATAGGATGACAAAGAAGAAGGATTTTTAGAATGGAGGTCTGTGTCGATGCCAGCGCCTCCTATCCCAGTTCACACTGCACATTGTGTTGGAAATAAAGAAGAATTACGTGTCCCTGCCACTCTTATTCCAACTAAACGTGCACAACCAGTCGAAACATCCGTTGTCGTTGACTCCGGCGCCGCTGGGTCATTCATCAGCTGTGAATTTATTGAGAAACACAATATTCGCACCAAGAAATTATTGAAACCCTTCACTATGGTCACAGCCGACGGCAGTGATTGCAAGGATGGGAAGATCCAAGAATATGTCAATCTCGGAATCAAGATCGATAAAAGAGTCATGTATGGAAAGTTCAACGTGACCCGACTCCGAACCAAGGACCATATTCTCCTTGGATTCCCTTGGCTGCAAGCCATGAACCCAACCATCAATTGGGCAGAAAGCCATCTTACCCTGGATGAAACACCCCGATCCTGGGAGGTAGAAGAATGGCTAGATGAGGAAAGACAGAAAGCAGGCTTCAAGCCACTTTTCAAGAAACCGAAGCCTTACCCAAGGAAGGCCCCCAAGAACATCCTGCACCCCAAGAAGGCGCCGACTCCTGAACCTGTTGTTCAGAAGAAGGAAGAATTCCATGCCTCCATCGAGGAAATTCCCGATGAAGATGAACCTGTTCCACAGTTGAACCCTGACCCCGACGAAGAAGATGAGGGATTCGACATCCTGAACTTTGATCAGAAACATGATGCATGGGTAAAAGATAACTTCACACCAAAAGTTGAAGATTTGGCCTCTTTTCCCCTTACCGACGATGAATTCCTCATTGAATACTCCCAGGACACCACTGCAGTACGCCTGATAGAGAATTTGGATTTGGACACTCCCCTCACCCGCGACGGTACATCGGCCTTTGAAACCAAGAAAATGGCAAAACCCCTATCACTTCCAGAATACCTGAAGACTAGTAACAAGTCTCAGGAATTAGCCATGGAAGGTGAGATTGAGAAAAAGAAGGAGACATTCGAAGAATTAGTCCCTTCTTACCTTCACGACTTCGCCGACCTATTTGCCAAAGACGGTCTTAACTCCATGCCACCTCACCGACCGGGTATTGACCACAGGATCGAAACGAAACCTGGATACATCCTGAAATCATCCAAACTCTATCCATTATCTGAAAAGGAAAGAACAGCGGTTAAGGCATTTATCAATGAACATGTGAAAAAGGAATTCATCTCACCATCAAAATCACCCCAGTCAAGCGGTTTCTTCTTCGTTGGAAAGAAAGACGGATCTCTACGGCCTTGTCAAGACTACCGGTATATTAATGAATGGACGATCAAGAATGCATACCCCCTTCCTCTCATCCCGCCACTCTTAGCAAAACTTCGTGATGCAAAGTACTTCACCAAGATGGATGTCCGATCCGGTTATAACAACATTCGGATCCACCCTGAAGATAGATGGAAGGCGGCATTTACCACTGAATTCGGACTCTTTGAGCTGAATGTCATGTTCTTTGGTCTTTACAACTCCCCCGGTACTTTCCAGGCCTACATGAATCAGACATTCCAACAGGAGCTGAACAAAGGATGGCTCATCGTCTACATGGATGACATCCTGATATTCTCGAAGAATTTGGAAGAACACCACAAATGGACCCGTCGGATATTGGACATCTTAAGAAAAGAAAAACTTTTCCTGAAAGCGGAAAAATGCCTCTTCAACATACAAGAAGTCGACTACCTCGGAATGATAATCAGACCCGGACAAATCGCGATGGACCCCACCAAACTCAAGGGCATTGCAGACTGGCCGACACCAAAAACAGTCACGGATGTACGGTCGTTCCTCGGATTCTGCAATTTTTACCAGCATTTTATCCCACATTTCTCTGATATCGCAAAACCGCTGAATAACCTGATGAAGAAGACCCAGCCATTCAGCTGGACTGATGTAGAAGAAAGCAGTTTCCAAGCACTCAGAAAGTGCTTTATGACGGAACCTGTCCTTAGAAACCCCAATCCTGCAAAGCAATTCGCTATTGCAACTGACACCTCCCTGGTAGCAACTGGAGCAGTGCTACTACAGACCGATGAAAACAGCACCTACCACCCTTGCACCTATCTTTCTGCATCCCTCAATGCAGCTGAACGAAATTATCAGATCTATGACAGAGAATTACTGGCTGTCATCCATGCTTTGACAGCATGGAGACATTATCTCGAAGGACATGGACACCCAGTAATTGTATTCACAGACCACATGAACTTGCTATATTTTAGGTCCGCTCAGCAATTGACCTGCCACCAAGTGCGTTGGCAGCTCACTCTCAACGAGTTTGATCTCGAGTTCCACCATGTCGCAGGAACGAAACTCGCTGTCCCCGACACTTTATCACACCGTCCTGATCATCATCCTACCAAGACAGACAACCAGAACGTCGTTCTGTTACCTGATGAGATGTTTGTTCGATTAATCGACATAGAACTAGAAGTGGCATTGAAAGCCGATGACCCCACGGCAGATCCCATCATCAAGACTGCCAGTGATGCCTTAGATGGGCTTTGCCTACCCCCCATGAAGTCAGCTTTATCTGACTGGAAATTCACCAATGGTATCTTGCAGTACAAGAACCGCGCCTATGCACCCCCTGCACTCCGAAGCCGCATCTTACAGCTTCACCATGATCACCCGACTGCCGGACATCCCGGCCAATTCAAGACTGAAGAACTAGTCAAACGTGACTACTGGTGGCCCCAGATGGGCACCTTTATTAGGAAATATGTCAAAGGATGTGCCATGTGCCAGCAGATGAAATCTGACACTCACCCCACCACCCCTCCCCTGAAACCTATCAGCTCTTCCGGTGTACGCCCCTTTTTCCAGCTATCCATCGACCTGATCACCGACCTCCCGGAGAGCGGTGGTTATGATTCTATGATGGTCGTGGTAGACCACAGACTTACAAAGGGGGTAATTATTTCACCTTGCAAGAAGAACATCACCTCCGAAGGGGTGGCGCAACTATTTTTCAAGAAAGTTTTCCAGCACTTTGGGCTCCATGACAAGCTCATTTCAGATTGTGGACTGCAATTCGCATCGAAGTTCTCCAAGGAACTCGGAAGACTACTAGACTACAAAGTTGCATTATCCACCGCATATCATCCGCAGACAGATGGGCAAACAGAGAGATTAAACCAGGAGATCGAAACTTACCTCCAAATCTACTGCCGATCAAACCCTGAGACCTGGGTACAGCACTTACCCATGGCAGAATTCGTGCACAACCACCGAAAGCACAATGCACGGAACACATCCCCGTTCTTCCTGATGATGGGCTATGAGCCCAGAGGCATTCCCTATGCCTTCCCACCTACTGACATCCCTGCGGCCGAAGACCGCATCACCAACCTTCAGAAAATGAGAGAAGAAGCGGTGTCTTGCCACAACATCGCTATGCAACGAATGGCTGAAAGATTGCATAGGAAGAAGTATGAACCATGGAAGATAGGAGACAAGGTTTGGTTGTCAGTGGAACACCTGTTAACACACCTACCCTCAAAGAAGCTGGCGCCAAAGTGGCATGGTCCCTTTACCATTACCAAGGTGCTATCTCCCATCACCTTCACACTCCAGCTCCCGGAACAGTGGAAAGTCCACCCCACGTTCCATGCATCTGAATTATCGTCCTATCGGGAGACAGAGATCCACGGTCTGAATTTCATCAAACCCTCACCTGACATTATCAATGGGGTTGAGGAGTACAAAGTCAAGGCAATTCTTGCGCACAAGGGACCAGCGGCACGCCGCCGCTATCTAGTATCCTGGAAAGGATACTCTTCTGCCAGCAACGAGTGGGTCAAGGAAGCTGACCTAGAAAATTCCCAGATGCTTCTCAAAGCGTATAAAAAGAGGACGAAACTTGCTTGAATACCATCAACCCACCAAGTAGCATGTCCACTCTTCCTCCTAACCTAAGCTCAATGACCTTCCCCCCAAACCAACTCCCTCACCCTGAAGAACAATTTATCCTTGATGAAAATTCCTCCCTTGCCTCATCTATCTCCGACCCCTCATCTGCAGAGGATACCGACTCCTCGCTTGCATCCTCTCTTTACTTCACCGTCATTGATCGTATTGAGGGAGACACCCTCTTTGAAGCAACATTACTATCTGAGCAACACGCACTCGAGCTGGAGAGAGTCCTCGCCAGATGCCCAGCAAGAAGCGCCGCCATCATTTCCGCCGTCATCCACCTCATCCGCACCACGTGCCTGATCGAACTTTCCACAAACAGACTCCCCAGCACTTTGGCTCAGGAAGCCCATGAAATCATTCACTGCCAAAGGCGCATCCGTTCTATTGCGCTCCAGCTCCTTCCTGATAGCCTTAAGCCTGATCTGCTATCAGTTGTGCACATCGTTGCCAACAGAACTGCGACTCAAATCGCTCGCCCGCCTTCTCCTCCTCGTCCTCTCCCCGATAATCAGTCACCAAATCGTGACACGACTCCCGCTCCGCTCCCAGTCAGAGCACCGCAACCTCAGGTTGCCACAAGGGGAAGGAAATCCCCTAGATACCGAACCATCCGTTCTTTGGGAAAACAGCGTATGAGAACGCCTTCCCTGGAACCCAAGAAGAAGGAGGTCATTGACCTCACATCCCCCTCACCATCTCCTCCACCTCACATCTCGGCAAAGAAGCCGGGCTTTGACAATATCAAATGCCGCATTTGTGGAGAGTACAGGCACCGCCACAAAAATTGTCCACAGTACTCTTACGTGGTATGTCATGCCATCGCCCTGGGGCATCTTTCGGTCTATTGCAAAGACCTGAAAGGCACCTACCCCCTCCCGATTGTCTATACTGACAATGGATTCTATGAAGCCCTCCGCAATTGGGAGGCAGACCAACGAGCATTCTATGAACAAGAATGTGAACAAGCCGATGAAGATTACCGCCGTCAACCAAGCTCCTCTACGGACCTTGATGACTTCAATAATGCTGATGCTGACCTCATCTACTATGACGATGCTAGAATGGAAAGTTGTTGAAGCTGGAGACTTCAACGGTTACACTGGGGTAATTTTACAATAACATTTACTCCTATTTCATTTTTCCTTCTTGTAACCATGCCGCCAACTCTAGACTCGGCTATTCTCTCATCAAGCGGGCTGTCCGCACTTCTCTTCTTCTTGATTGTAACATAGATACTATCTTGCGCCGCATGGCGGTTTCACCTATCTTTGTTACCGTTCTTGTCGCGGCTGCGCCGCTCCCCTTTATCTATATAAACCCCATGTACCATAGCTGTATTCCTTAACTTAATCTACTGGGTTTTCCCCTTGAAACCTGATCTACAAGGTCTCCACCCTTGTAGCCTGATACCTGATTCTAAGACAGTCACTCACTGTCTTAGCCTGAACCCTTGATTGTGGTAGAAGTGCTAAAACCACTCACCACTGATCCTACATAGAAGCCGCCGCGCTCGTGTAGTGTGAACCCTTGAACCAGAAACCTTCCTTGTACTAGGAAGGTCGACGAACTGTGAACTCGACCAGTCTATCTTTGACCTTTGACAGAAGAACTATCCCAGTTGTAACAGCATCATGGAGATCCCAGCACACAGCCACCATGTTTGTCTCTTTAGTCCATCACTGTTCAGGAGTTTTGTTGATTGTCCTTCCATAGACCATGATCACGATGCCCGGAATATCTGCTACAGACACAGGAGATTTGATTAGACTATATGCTCCACTTCCTCTAGACATCTATACCATACAAGCGATCCCCTTCGGGCAGTAGTACTACAAGGATGCACGCAGACTAGCGGCCACCGTGAATGCTGATGGGAACCGCCATGCTCACCAGGTCTTAGAGCCACAGAAGCGGACACAACTGTCCATAAGCGAGGGTCGTCTACTCCAGGCCAGTCGGCGTGAGGTCACTGCAGTATCACAACTTGCCTGGATTATATCTCATTCATAATAACCTAGTTCTGGTGCCCTCCTCCCTTACCTTTAAAACTTTGTTTGGAGATGTGATCTGAATGAAAGAAAGGTGTCGCGCAGATTTCGGTGTCGGCAACCCCGCAGTGCACGGTTTTTACCAGTCGTGTGGAAGTCTTCTCGCAAGTCCATTTCTTTGTAGATTTTATTTGCACTGATTCATCTGTATCACTAGCAGCAGAGCCAGTAATCCGAGTTAATATCACGTTATGATACCATATTCTGAGCAACGAGGCCCACTCTTCAGTTCCCTCTCCCTGTATCCTCTTTAGGCTGCTTGACCTTATTGGGTTATTTCACCTGATACGTCTCGACATTTAGCGCGCGTGCACACTATAAAGGAGGGGTTTCTTGTCTGTATATTCTCTTTCATTCTCTCATTATTTTCTCTTACTCATCTCTCACTCGTCACTCTTTATACTTATCACGTTCACTTTAACATCTCTCACTTCTACCATGTCTGTGTCGGAGGATGACCATCACACTGAAGCTCGCTCACTCGCACCTTCAGAACTCTCTGGTGCAGTCCCCACCTCCATAGAGGCGAGGGCCAAGTGTCGTATCGCCGCTCTGGAAGAGGAGTTGCAGGTGATGAGGCAAGAAAGAGGAACGAAGCAGAGGTTTGTCACCCATCTTACTTACTATATATGTTTCACTCATTGATCCTCAAAGAAAAACCACCTACTACGTTTCTCAAGGCCACGGGGACATGCAGAATTGCAGAACCGGTTCTGAACCTGTTCGAACCGATGGCAAGTCAGTATGTTGTTTAAGTGTAGTACTTATAGGCGGAGATGACGAAATGTTTGGTATCCATATTGTACATAATGCAAAAAGAACAGTTCGGAATGCATCAGCATAAACGAGGGTAGAATCACCATTAACTGTATTGTGGGCACTGGATGAGCTGTGGTGGCAGTGGAATAAATGCCTGAGAAGTGTGCTTCTTTGCGGTTCTGAGGAGTGGGAACGGCCTTGTGCAGAGGACTGAGAACAAAGAGGTCAAGAAAATGAAATTGAAGTGATAGCGATGACGCATGTAAGCTGGTGAGACTCCATCGAAAAAACCATGGGGTACCTGATGAGCAGGTGGACGTCGTTGGACCGGAGGTCATGTAGCATTAGCCAGGATCAATCAGCTTCCCCACGCTCACGCCGCTCAGCAAAATTGTGCACCTCTACATTGCAGTTTGGACACTGTGTCATCAAGAGAAAAGTGAGTAACAAGACAAAGATTGAGTGGGGCAGCATGAGCAACAGCGGAAACACGCTGTGATTGTGGCCTTAAATGCAAGTTCCTCACAACGAGATCCACAGATCGATTGCAATAGGATAAGGTCCAGGCAGATAACCTGGATTCTTGAAGTAGATATCGAAAATGTGTCGTCCACGCAACTTGGGAGTCGAATGCTTGGTATGGTCACTGAGGTTAGTGGATATCAAAATATCAAATAACATACCATTGCCCACACAGATAAAGTTTCCCTCGCATCCACATACTAGACAGTACCAGTCTTGAAATGCCTCGCAAGACTGACGTGAGGTTGAGGGAGTCTAGCAATGCCTTGCGAGACAAGTAGGCACATCTTGCACGTTGTCGAACAAATTGATTCACACCTCAGAAGGCATCACGAGGCCGTGGAATATTATCCGGACCTTGCCGGCCCTCGCCAGATTTGGGTGCTTTTGCTGATGATGATGCATCTGTTGTTGGGCGTGTTTCAATATAATTTTTCTTGACGAAATTTTTATATATAGTTTGGATGGTCCGGTTCTCAGTTCGAACCCTCACTGAACCAGAACCGGACCATTTTCGGACTGAACCGGACTTTTCCATCACTACTGGTGACAAACAAATGCACGGCTTCACACATGATGCCTGTGGCAGGCTACTCTGCCCTGCCGAGTGGGACTGGAGTCAGGACTGGTGAGCGTCAATCTTTGTTGAATATTATGTGGCATTAATAGGCTTGGGCAGCGTGAAGGCCGGCATTCGCAACAGAACTTCAGATTACATTATATCAGAAAACTCTTGGCTGCTATTCGTATATGAGAACTACTCAGTTAACAGTAGGGACCTCGAGCAAGGTCTTTTTAGGTCGAAGATACTGGTTCAGGTGAGTCACTTGTAGTCGTAGTTGTGAATACTTATAAATTTGTAACATCACTAGGCTTTTAAAGCCATTTTTACATCACCATCCTCCGCAAAAGAGGCTGATGGTGATGGTGATGGAGCCGACATCCTCGAGAACAACAGGTGTGCCCGGCGGGCACTAAATCAGGTCAAGGTCAAAACATGTGTTGCCTCGATCATCAACATGAGAAAAGTCACTCCCCATTCCATCGCTTATGTTGTTTGTCAAGTCAGTTGATACGATTACCCTCTGTTTATGGCTAGCTTACGGTTACTGTCTAGCAGGTTCGTTTTTCACTATCCAGCATCTCATCTTGGTGCACCGTCGACGGTGACTTCGACTATGAAGTGTTTTGCAACAACATCGTAGATTTCTTCGAGGATGTCCCTGGACCTATCACACGACGTAGGGTGAATACGCTTCTCGAATGGTGGACCAGGTATTGACTATGTTGCAGCATGTGTGTTATATATCTAACCTAACTGTTTGAGAAGGTTTTCGGAACAAACCATCGAGAGGACCTTACACCTGAGGTTGTATCTAAGATGTCCGTCACGGCATTAGCGGAACAGAGAAAGGCATTGGAGGATGCCGTTTTTGATTCAGACTAGCCTAGCTTGATCATTGTTTTACCTTCCGTTGTCGTACAAACACTTTACTGTATCATCGTCTTTTAATATAATCAATCTGTGGTTTATGACAAAGATTGAACATGTTTTCAAATTGGTGCATGCATAATGTTCACTGAGGATAGTAACATGGGTCTGCACTGTTTAGCATGCCATCAACCATCAAACTTATTTTTCCTTACAACCTGGCCAAGTCATAGGGACGCTTTCTATGTAAATAACTGTTTCACGACTGCAATAACGAATATTCCACTGCCTGTGTGGTGCACCAATCATGGAAATATGTGTCAGTAAAACACTCTTGGTGGAGGAAGCCACGCGCAGTCTCCACCTGAAGAACATCAGTCAACAATCCCAGACATGAGAGATGCATAATTGTAAGTGATAGCACTGCGGCGGACATAGACATACCAAGATATATTCCAGCAGAAAGTAAAGTTAACGGATAATGTGTCTCTCCTGGTAATGATCTGTCCTCCTTGTTAAAATGTGCAACTCATTCAAGATACCACGTTGTGTGGAGGCCACAGACGGATTGACCTGAATGAAACTCTGAACATACCTCATCACCTTCTCGCAACTCCATGATCTTGTCATCCAGTCTCCAAAGGGCAAATCATTCTGCAAAACGAAACATGTTGTATCCAGCATGCTAGTGGGCCAGACGAATAGTTGTTATTATCATTTTTTGTCTTTGCTGAGGTTAATCTGAACCAACTGTCTTGCTATGCGAAGCTTATTCCAGAACCATGTGACTTCATTATCATTGTGTCCAGGCTTCCCATCAGAAGAATATTCCAATCTTGTTCAGAACTAGCACCAACCTGATAGTCTTGCAGTTTGGCTTTAGCATGTAGTGTATCTCTCATTTCAGTTGAACGCTCCGTTGTTGCTCAGACAGAACACAAGAAGTATGTATTTTCACATCAGACATTTTCTTCGGTGTTGGTCCTATTAGCTGACATTGATTTTGCTATGCTAATGCGAACCACAGTTACCCCATCCACCAAGTGCACCTGTCATGTTAGAGTTTACGGATTGTATTTGTGACGAAGGAAATCTAACTTTCGTATTGTTTAGCAGATAATTGAGCGGTCATCACAATATTTCGTTCGATTCGGCAGCTAGACCGGCGGCTTGCAAATACTCATGCAATCCACTGATTGTGAAGATTGGATGTCACAAGCAAGATTATTTAGAGCTTCCAGTGTCATAAGCTAAGTGTACTCTTCTAAGCTGTGCCGGTATACCATTGTTGACAAAATTCTCTGATGTTGGATATGATGTGACATACCCACAGGACTCCATCTAAAGCATATGATGAACATCTCAGTCAGTTCAAGCAAGTTTGTAACGTGTGGGAGTCAAGGGCCCTGTGTTTTGCCAAATGAATAGGTTGTCAAATGTGAACTTGGCATTTTCTTATTATGCAACCGAATACTCACAGCTGCGATTCCAAAAACATATGAAGAATCACAGCTTTCGCGCCAGGTATATCGTTCTGCAGATTGTCGCATGATGCAAGGGCCTCGCACCAGTGATAGTTAGCAACTTTTGCGCTCGTCCTGATAACTACGGACTCGCATCTTACTTCGTCGACTTAAGTCTCATCTTTCATTCGCAGGACAATTCAAATAGAAGATAATTCATCGGACAGAAGACAACTTGGTTGATTATCTCTAAAATGCATCGTTCCTACATAAGGCTATGTAACCCCCCCTGCCACATTGTCGAAGATTGTTGCGATTGTTATCAATATATAGTCTTCCATGTCATTTTAATATGTTTGTCGGTTCATTGATGTCCACCCGCACAGTAGCACGAAGAGCCACAGTGACTATTGGTGCGACAGTGCTGTGATGCGCATGTCAGGCATCCGACAGAGGCTTCATGATCGTAGTATTGAAGCACTGTGGCCATCACACTAAGTGCAAGGGCGAAGAGGACGAAAACGCAAGCTTGAAGTGAAAGCATTGAAAAGGGCGGTTTGGGTTTGGAGACGAGGTGTAAAACACTTGAGTGCTGAGGTCAATCGTGTGCCACCCACCCTCTATTTATGCATTCAGCGAGGGGGCTGTCATGATCAGGCCCACAGTATATCCGTCATGGTGGATATTGAATCTGGAAACTAGAAATGGAAGGCTTTTTCGATCCAATTTCGACATGCTTCACAAATAGCTGACCATTTTCACAATGCCCGCCTGTCAATGTAAGAAACAATTCTTTTGACACGTTATTAGCCACAGCCGTGAAGGGTACAAGTGACATACAAAGATCCGTTAAAGTTTGACCTAGTTCAGGACTCGCTAGCATTGTACGAGACTTTGGGGTATTATGCTGTTTAGAGGGATCTGTCGTCGTTTGGGGTAAAGTGATTTGAATTGGTAGGAAAGGGCTGCTAATGTTCTGAGGTCATCTGCTACGCCTGTTGGAAATGGTGTGATTGTAGTATGTACACGGTGTTGACCCCAGATCCACAACCGGTGTTAAGAGAGTTCCGAATCGATACACGGGGATATGTGAATGTACTAGCGGATATTCAGAACAGATCGTCAAATGTTACTCATGTCAACAATCCACTGATTTCCTTCCACAGCAGATCCGAATTCGATTTTTCTCGCGTTTTGAAGAAAATATTTGATTCTTTAACATGATGGAATACAGTAAGGTGGGGGAAGAGAGCTGACTCCAGAGTGGCGTATGTGGTGTTGTTGAGTACTAAATGAAAAGGAGTTCAATAGCCGATTGCGATCACGTGAATGTTCAAGTTGCTTTCATTATAATATATTCGCGTCTGAGTCCGATTATCGCACTCTGTCTTATCCCATGTTGACGTTCGGAGCGCTCGTAACACCGGAGAGATCGAGTGAAAACCAGGTCAAGTTGGAATGTGGCCCTTCCCTACTACACTACTTCATGACTACTGTCAAACACCTTACATCTAATGCCGGAGAGCAGTTTGTTCTTGTTCGATTATGACAGGGCTCGTCGTCGTCGACTTTTGACGGATAGGGCCACGCTCACACCGATCGTCAAGATGCCCTTCGATGGCGCTTCCTTCCCCTGATGCGCTTACAGCACTCGCGAAACTTACATCCGACCCTAACAACATTGTATATATTGTATCCGGCCGTGACCAAAGTGTTCCTCGAGGAACACCTTGGCCATTTCTCGCGTCTTGGGATGATTGCAGAGCATGTCGGATTCATCCATTTGCCTGATAGTCCCGCGTGAATGAATTTCACTGCCAGTCTGGATATGAGCTAGATGGAGGAAGTAGCAGAAATTTTCAGGTATCATACGGAGTGTACGACTGGGGGTCATATCGAGATGAAGAAGAGCTCGATTACTGCGGCATTATTGGTCGACTGATCCCTAGTGGGGGTGCGTGTGTTTGTGATTTTTTATTTATTGAGCGGAGCTGATGAATGGTGGGTTATAGACACAGTTCCAGCGTAGGCAGTGCCAGGATTTATCGGAGAATAATGTGGTACCCAAGAGGCCGGTCGAGGTGCTCGTGGGTAAGAAAAATCTAGAAGTGAGACCTATTGCCGTGAACAAGGTCTGTACGTGATGTATGGATTTTTTCTTTCTCTCATTTTGAAATGTTATTGTGCGGTCTGTATTTAGAACGTTGATGTGCTTGACCCTTAGATTTTCTATAGACCAATGATGATCGTCTGAAGTGTCATCATATCTGATGATGCATCTCGCTTGTGGAACTACCATTGCCTTAGTTTATGTCGAGATTGGAATGGTTTCGAGTGAGGGCAGGATGAGAGGGAAATGAAGTAGTTTCACTCCGACCTTCATTCTTACGGAGACACTGAGCGGCGAAATGTTTTATTCATCAACGTCGATCCTCCTACGTAGGTAGAGGTCTATACGCCCCCACACTCGAAGTTCATGGCACTGTGTTAACCTCTTGAAGTCGCCAAAATTCTTCTTATATGAAGGGTACTGTGCGCACTGATCGACAGAGCAGGTATCAAGCAAGTCCTTCATCTGATTGAGAAAGATGGTCACTAATTACTAAGCCATTGTTTCGTCAAGCTTAGCGGGAACCTGCTGCACTACAAACGACATAGGGTCCTTGCCTGGCGAAGCTGAGATCCTCAATGTAGAACTTTGAAGTGTTGCCCTTCTCATCCTTTCCCATGTAGAGGTTCTTGGACCGAATATGCCCTCCTTCTCTGCAGGCTGCATCGTAGCCTGGCCTCAGGCATCAGCAGATTCTATGACTCCTGGCTTTCATTGAGCCTACTGAGCAGGGTCCATCCAGCCCTATACCAATAAACAATCAATAAATCCTTTTGTTCCAACCTCACAGGAATGCTTAGTACTCACGACTGCGAAGCTTGAACGATTGCTCAGAGTCGAGCCACAGATTGAATGCTGTGCCCCCTGTCATGCCTGTGATGGCTCCATCGCCATTACAGCAAGAGAACATCGTCGAAGAGAACGGTGTTCCACCTTCTGGTGCTTTCCAGTAGCAGCCCGAGGAAAAATAGCTCCCTACTATCATGTAGTTGAATTGAGTGGCATTCTTGAGGGAACAGTTGATCCAGTGAAACTTTTCCTTGAGGTCATTGTCTGCACCAGGGATAATTTCCTGTATAGTCTACGAGTTGTGACGAGAATATCATTAATATTTGGTCATGCTCGGTGTTGAATACCAAAAAGACGTTTACATACATCTATAGTTTTTTTAAACATGATCAGCGGGTCTAGGACTATGCTCAAGATTTCAACAATGCCATTGGGCGACGTGGGTGAATCGGTCATGATGGATGGATAGAATGTGTGGACGCAGTGTGATGCTTTGGTGTACTGATGGATGTTACCCCACAAATTGTACATTACCCTCCACCTTTTATACAACCCGTGTACAGATATTGATACCGGAGATCAAGAAAGGGCGGAAACCAGTGGGATTGTCATTGTTGACGCGAGAAACATAACGTCTAAGAAGGTGCGCACTAGCTATATTTGGTTCCCAGACTCGGAAAGCTCTTCAAAGGCTCTTGAATTCTTCTGCATTTTGGATAGGCTGCTCCATTCATTCATGCTCAGAGAATTATATCCCCATGCATCAATTCGGAACTCTCTTAACACTGGTTGTGGATCTGGGGTCGACGTGTGCTACAATTACGCCATTTCCAACAAGCGCAAAAACATGTAATTAGCAATGCAGATTGTACGATCAGTGGCAAGGCTTTTCGTAGTAATTCTACTTCAAACAACGACAAATCCCTCTAAACGACATAATACCTCAAAGTCTCGTCAATTGACAGGATGGCCTCAAAACGTTTGCAATGCGGATATGATGTGGCCCTTTCGTACTAATTCATAACTTTTCTTCAAACAACAACAGGTCCCTCTAAACGGCATAATACCTCAAAGTCTCGTACACGAGCCCTGAGCTAGGTCAGAATGGACATGGTGTCAAATCTGCAGCGGATCTTTGTATGTTTACTTGCACCCTTTACGGCGGTGGCGAATAACGTGTTAAATAATCATTTTCTTCCGCCGACAAGCGGCCATTCAAGTTGTGAAAATGCTCAGCTATTTGTGAAGCATGCCGAACTTCGATCGAACAAGCCCCGCATTTTTATATAACCAGCGTGTAGTGGCAAATTCAACAAGATGCGGTGAGTCAATTTTAGGACTCGAGCAGACAATATCAGGACAAATTTGATCTGGTCACCCATGTTACATTTGTTTGACCGACTGTTAGTGTTGGCTGTTCATCATAGCAGTCTTCCACATCGTCCACTTCGAAGGCACGAGTCATTGACCGGACGGAATTGATTTGACGTAGTAACGACAACATTGAACGAGCACAAACATATTGAGGTACACGACAGCTGCCAACATTCGAGAACAGATTTCAAGTCAGAGGTAAACAATTGGAACACAAAGGAAATATCCAAAAGATCATGGAATTTGGATCTTAAATCTGATTGATGCTGACGACATCGGTGGAGGGATCATACGTGATGCTCCACGTAGTATCGTCCTCGAGAGCAGTAAGATCTTGCCTGAAGAGACAATTGGTCTCGACTCAACTCTTGATCAAGCTGTTCTCCTTGTAGCCCGTGCCATTATACCCCCTTAGAACTGGCTGAAACACTCCTACGTTCACCTTCTGCTCGTGCCCTACGCCGAGCCAAACTAGAGCCGTCTTTGCCCTGTCCCCATCCCTCCCGATGAAACCTGGACAATATGTAGCACAAGAACTTTAGGAATAGCAGTTAAACGTACCAAAGCCTATATCCTCCTTGGATGGTGCGTCGTTTAGACATTGAATAGATTTTACCGAGGGGTCGATTTTGGGATCCTAGGCTTGTCTCGCAAACGGATATTGAGAATGCCAGTAGGTGTACTTACGGAAAAATGGTATATGTCGCCCTCCTTGGTTAAAGTGGTGGTTTGCCCAGGCTAAGTAGCAGTCCATGAAACCCAACGAAAAATCCATGAATCCACCCGACCCTCACCTGCATAGCAACCTCGGCAACACTTTGAATGTCACCACTAGAAAGATGAACCTTAGTGAACGCAAATCTGAGGGGTGCATTGTAAATTAGCTCTCCACACAAGCTTCAAATGGCCCTTACGGTGATTGATATATAACTTCGGAGCGGTAGGCGCCTGTCAGTGTCAGTGCGTATGTAGATAGCCCAAGGCACTGATAATATTCGCCCCACCTTCAGCCCCAAATCTCCTGACCCTATTCGCAAAGTCACATCAGCGAGCGAGCGCGACAACAAAGACGAAAATATGAAGGATATACATACGCAAAAGCCGATGGGTAATAGTCCTTGAAAACCTTGACATCGGGCTGCTCGTCGAAAGTGAGAAGAAGGTCGACGTCTACGCCGAGATCCTTGGATTTGAAGGTGAGCCTTTTGACGAGGGTATCCATACGGTGTGGAGTTGAATTCGAGAGTGAAAGTACAAGGGAGTTGGCGTTCAATGTTCAGTTGTGGCCTATTGCAGAGTCCACACGACGGGTTATATACCGCCCTCTGGAAACTAGAAACGGAGAGCCTGTTTTAGGTCAAGTTCACTGTTCAGCATGCTTCACAAACAGCAGCTTGACCCGTTCGTCGACGTATGAAATGATTCTTTTGACGCGTTAGTATTCGCCACTGTGACTCGGAAGGGTACAGGTGACATACAAAACTTCACAGCGATTTACGAGACTTGGAACCATTATGCCGTTTGATGAGATCTGGTCATTGTTCAGAGTAAAGTCATGATGTAGTAAGGAAGGGTCGCATTGCAACTTGACCTGGTTTTCACTCGACTTCTCCGGTGTTACGAGCGCTCCGAACGTCAAAATGGGATAAGACAGGGTGCGATAATCGGATGCAATGAAACCAAAACATCCACGTGATCGCACTCAGTACCCCGGGCCCTTTACACTGCAACTCTGGAACTAGGACTATTTACTCCGAGTCGCACGCGCCGACCACACCACTTCCTCGTGTCGAACGAGTCACCTCCATTCCCCCACTTAATATCCAACTTTTGGATTTTCGACACCAAGACACATTTGACGATCTGCTCTGAGAATTATGTACCGCCATATCCCGATGCATCGATTCGGAACTCTCTTCACATCGGTTGTGGACATGCCAGTGGGGTCAACGCCGTGTACTACAATTACGAGGATGACCTCAACACGTTACTCCAAACAGTTAAACAACAGATCCCTCTAAACGACTTAATACCCCAAAGTCTCGTACAATGCTACCGAGCCCTGTCAAATCTGCAACGGATCCTTGTATGTCACTTGTACCCTTTATGGCAGTGGCGAATAATGTGTCAAAAGAATCATTTCTTACGTGGACGGGCGAGTATTGTGAAAGTGATCAGCTGTTTGCAAAGCACTTGAATCGAGAACGACCCTCCGATTCCAGTTTCCACATTCGATTTCTACGGATACAGGGTCGCAGTCCTTCCGGAGGGGGTATATAAGTCGTGTCAACTCAGCCACAGGCCATACGCGACTGAACACTAACTTCCTCTTACTTTCCATCTCGGGTTCAACACGATATGACTCCGATTGTCACCAACAAGCTTACCTTCGTCTCCAGGGACCTCGGCATAGACGCAGAGCTTCTTCTCACTTTCGACGATCAGCCTATCGCTGGGATGTACAAGGACTATTACCCATCGGCTTTTGCGTACGTATATCCTTCATATCTTCGTCTTTGTTCCCGCGCGCTCACTGAAGGAATTTCCAAATAGGGTCAGGAAATTTGGGGCCGATGGTGGGTGAACATTATCTGTGCCTTGGGCTATCTAAATAAGCACTCAAAGGTATCTACCGCGCTGATATTACATATCGATCGCAGTAAGGGTCATTCGAAATCTATGTGGAAACCAATTTACAATGCGCATCTCAGACTTGCGTTCACCAAGGTTGTTGTTTCCCATGATGTCATCCAAAGTGCTTCGACCGAGGTTGCTGTTCAGGTGAGAGTCGGACGGATTCACGAATTTGCTGCTGGTTTCATGTAGTGCTACTAGGTTGAGCAATCTACCACTTTGACCATGAAGAATCAAATATTCCATTTCTCCGTAAGTGCGCTCACTGGCCTTCTCAATGTCCATTTGCGAGACAAGCCCAGGATCCCAAAACCGACCTCTCGGTACCGAAGAATAACATCCAGTGTGTAAACCACGCACCATGCAAGGAGGATATAGGCCTTGGTACGTACAATTGCTCTCTTGAAATTTCTCGCGCTACATATCGTCCAGGTTTCATTGAACGGGAAGGGGATGAGCCCAAGACGGCTCTAGTTTGGCATGGCGTAGAGCACGGGCAGACGTTGAACGTGGAATTTGTTCCGCGTCTAAGAGGTTATGTTAATGCTTGCCCCTACCAGCTGGGTAGCTTGCTCGAGGGCCCAATTCAAAGTGGCCGCCTTTTCGACCAAGACCTCAGTACTCTCGACAAACATACCACATGGGTCGTCACATACGATGAGCCCACCGGAGTTTTTAGGATCGATGAGGAGATAACGAGCGAGGTTCAACATCTGTGATAAATTGCTTTTCATGAACCTCTTTCAAATTTTGGCTGCTGTCAATCAGTTGGCATTGTGCTGTTTTGATGTTACTATCTTGTAAACTGTTCCCTTTGTTGTGCAACTCGTTTTTTCAAAGTGAAACGTGATAATCACAGTATGGGCGAAAAAGTCGCCTATGCCCACCGTGGCACCGCCCCTCTCCTACAAATGCACCTTCCTAAAATGTGTTAAGTACAGTATTCGTCCTTGCAACACTGCCACTCAATGAAAGAGTTGGTGTTTCTTGTTCAATCTTACACAAAATTCCTTCAAATTTGATTTGTTATGATACTTTGAGAGACCCTTAGACTTGTAATTGAGTCCAGCTTCATCTATCAGACAGCATTGAGGTCATTCCAACAGTGGTTGGGCTGGGGCCAAGTGTTAGCTTGGATTGGATGCTGACGAGATTGCTGCTGGGTGGGCAGGAAACAAACTTGACAGGCAGACTGTCAGATGACCATTATATGTGATAAGATAGGTGGCTAAATATGATGATAGGTATGTATGTACGGGTATTCGAGATATAATTCAATATGACATGAAAATTATTATAGCTATGTCGGTAATGGGAGTGGATGGTGGGCAAAAATATGAGGAAATGAGCGAGGAGACTGTAGGTACGAGCGAGTAGGATGTGTGGAACAGAGAAGAAAAATGACAAAGAGAGGAGCCGAACATTTTGCTCATGTGTGGATGTACATTTTGTAGGCGGGCAAATGCCAGCGCCCGGCCAGGCGCACTATTTCAGGGTCTACCTTTTGTGCAAGGTAGAAAGAGGCTCCTCCTATGTGGAACAAGTGTCCGAATGTGGTGCCCCATCCCCAGGCTGCAATTATGCAGTTAATGCATTTGAGTGCGCACTGTTTGACCATAGGGCAGATGATACCCAGTTTGTCACACCACAAAAATAAAGTGTCTTCTTGAGGTAAAGTGAGAATTAGTTCTGCTGTGCTATTGAAGGAGCCCCATATAGTGGGGAAATCATCTGAGTTGTTACCTGCATTCACTGAAGCAAAGGAAGGATCATTTTGTGGGTATGAGAGGTCTTGTACCAAGCAAAATTTGCTGGAATGAGTTTTTGGAACCAGTCCTAAGGGCAACAATTGAAAAGGTCCAATTAGGGCTCGAGTTCGTGAGAGGTGTAACCTCGTGAATAACAACCAGCAGCTTGTTCACTGGTTATGTATGAGTTGATAAAGGAAGGGTTTAGTTGACAAGACATATGATTTTTAAAATAAATGAGTGACCAGTGGGGTGCCTTGCTCCCCAACATTAAAACCATTGCGAAGTCCTGCAAGTATGTGCAACCAGTCATCTAAGATATTATATTTACGCAGAAGTTCCTCAACTTGATCTATAATGAGAGGCGTCACCACTATGTGGGGGTCAGGCTTGTTTGGCACAGCTACCGGCTCCATGACTAGGTTCTCTGCAGATGCTGCACTTGTGAAAGTTGGTGCAGTTGGCTCCAAATGAGCAGGAAGAAGAGCAAGCCCATTTGAAGCAGTAGTGCTTCCCATTGGCTGCTGAGAGAGCATGCCTGCTTTTCACTGTGGCTGTAATTGGAGCGACAGTTTTACCTGCGGAGGTAGTTTCAGCACTGCAGTCACCAGGCAAATGTCCAGAGTGCCCGCACCAAAAGCAATGTACTCATGCCTTCTTGTGAGGAGACTGCATAGCTTCCTGCAGATGCTCTGCAGGAGCTGAACATTTCAGTGGAGATGTCGACATATAATTGGGTAACTGCTGAGTGGCCAGGGATGCACACACAGCGGCTTGAGTTGCTATGAGCGTGAGTGCATTGACATCCAGGCCTGTTAGGTTGTGACTTGGATTCTGCACAGCCAGCTCCCACTGTGCAATATTGTATTCCTGAGCAATTTCCCATCCATGAGAGGATGTGAGCTCAGAAATAACTTTATGATGAGATATGAAGGCCACTCCATGCAAGGTGCCATGGTAAAAGGTGATACACTCTTCCACCAATCGAGATGCAGTTAACCAATCATGAAATTTAATTGTTCATTCTTTGCTATGATCTAAACCTTTCACTACTATGTTGCCTTGGGTGGTAAATGAAAACACCTCATTGCCGTTGCAAGCAGCATTATGACGCACTGCAGGGGTAATCACTGAGTATGGCACATATTTGTATTGCCTCAAGGCATCTTCCACCTTTGAAGGGACAACTGTAATGCAGAGATATATATGAGCAACAGAGCTCTCAATGATGAGTAGGTAAAGATAAGCAGATAACATGACTAAAAGGCTTGATTCTGGAGAGAAATGTGGGTTGCAACAAATATGATTAGTGCCACCAAAGGTGCATGACAATGTAGAGCCTCGCATCTCCACAGGCACTTCCCTCTGAATTCTCCCACTTTTCCTATAAACTCCAGCTCTAATCCACAGGATTAGTCTAGCACACCAGTGCACTTATATTTTATTTTGCAGCTTTTGTGCGCAACCTCGTGGGTTCGCGCACCTCGCACATCCGCACTCGCATTGTCTGCACATTCATCTGTCCATCCATCCCATGTCCTTAGATGTTCATTGGTGCGTTTTCCCATCATATTCCCTTTTCGATTAATTGGTTTCCATCGCTAATACTTGGCTCTGCGCTTCGTGCATAACCGAGACCATGTTACATACCCTGCGTACTATTTTTAGTCTGTTTGGCTTGTTACATCGGACCTGCGCGCCTAGCACCGCTTAGCTACTTTACTCATACCCTCCTATTACTTATGTTCTGGGTCGATTTTCTGGCCACTTTCTCTGTGTCTCTAGATACTAGGAATTTTACTTGTTGTTTGCAAGTGACTATCTAAAGTCGCATGCTTTGGTTCTCCGTCTCTGTCTTAGCATCAGCCAACCTTAGTTGGGGTGTTAACACTCAGCCTTTCACACTCGCGCGTTTGCATTTTGCACATCACATCATCTCTGCCTCGTGCTTTACTTAGCCTTAGTACTTTATTAGTTGTTTGGTGTCCCTCTTTTTACAAAGAGAGGTTTTTCTTTACCCCGCCAGTCACAATGACTACGCCTTATCGCATGCTTATTCATGGCACTGACCACATGCCAAAATTCAACAGCACCACTGCTAACCTCCTAGATTTTATAGATGCATATGAAGAACATGCCGATCAGGCCAGTCTCGCTGGTCTTGATCACATCAAGCAGATCATCCAGTACCTCACGCCCGCCGACAAAGAACTTTGGGCATGTCTGCCCGAAGCAAAGGTCAGCGACTATGACACGTTTATACGCAAAGTAAAGGTAATGTACCCCGGCTGTGAAGGCGATCATCACTACATGGTGTTACAAGAACATCTAGACGCTTGGGCCCCTACCATTTTTCTCCTGATCCTCCTCGTATCAGCCCTTGCATCATACCCTCACCCCGACCTTACCCTGGTCATCCTTGTCATTCTCGCGTTCCCTTTCGCTCTCTACCTATCGCTTCAGCAGAGCCAGTACATCTGGCCGGATCCTTTCGCTGACGAAGCATACCCATGCTCCGTTCCACCACCTGACTGATCCTGTGGACAGTCCCCGTGCCCTTACCGTCTGGACGGTAACCTATGATATGATGCACGACGCATCCCCTTTGCCCTGCTTCCTTTCTTAAATCTCTGACTCGATGCGCAGTCGCACATGCGACTTATACTTAGCTCCGCAGCTGCACGATCGTGCCCCTGCGTGTTTCACTTCTTATCCCGATCTTTGACTCACTTTCTTATCCGCACGTTCAGAGCTCACCCGTGTCTCACCTCGAACGTGCCTTCCTTTTATGGTCTTACCCTTTACCGATTCCTTCTTCTGGTAGTACGAGTTATCATCCACTAATACGTGTCCTGTCCTCTATATAAACTCGCTACCATGTACCATATTCCTTAACTTGAATCTACTTGGTTCTTGACCTCCTACTCTCACTAGAGTGATCCTTTCTGCCTAGCCAGCAGTCTATATTCTATCTTCTTATCTGCTCTTCGCGGATAAGTCTTTAGTCTCGATCTTTACTCATCGACTTTGTCGACGAGCAAAGCCCCTGTTAACTAGTCGGACTTCTGTCCTTCTAATTAACGACGATCTTACGATTAACCTTCAGGTGTCGTAAGCCTTGGCCGATATAGCTTATCGTCTCGCACCTGCTTGACATAAGCTACCCGGTTTGGACATAGGCGTCAAATCTTACTTGCCGAAGCCTCGCCAAGTAAGACCCCTAACCTTGGGCTAGCCCAAGGACGTCCTCGACTGTTGATGACACACACTCTGTTTGAGCATCACCAACAGATACCACATCTAGTACCACATCCTTTGCTCCTCGTTTGCTGCCGGTTGGTACTGGTTTTTGGGCACTGATGGCAGGCACAGGAGGCTTGTTCCTGTGGGCTGAGAGCTCTGGAGTTGCATCATTGTTGGCGTCAGTGAGTCGTGACGAAAGTGTCACATTTTGTCGTGGCTGAGACACAACATGTCCTGACATGGACTCATCGTCAGATACAACGATCGACATGATTAATGAACATGACCAACTTACGGTATGGGTACATACTTGCCTTCTCAAGAAAATTTAAAACTGTATAATTTATATCTCTGACATCGGCTGACGGCCGCAGATTTTACAAAGTCAAAAGCCGGGGCTCAGGCCCAGGGCTTGGGCCCAGTCAAACTACAGGCTAGGCCCTAGGCCCTAGTAAGCCTGACATTTGGGCCCGGCTTGGCCTCAGGGCTTGAGGGCCTGAGGCCCAGCCCTGTATATCACTACTTGTGAGTGTTTTCTCAAACAGCCTTGACTTCTCTTTCCAGTATGTCTTTCCCAGGCTTATTTTTTCAAACCATTGAAATTTAATAATCAGACACCTGGAGTAGATTTCAGATACCTTCACTATCATATATCTAAATTTACAAAACAATCCAACAATTATTGAGTGCTGAGGAAGTGAAATAGATAAGAAATTGAGTGTGGGAAAAGTTCAAATGCCCAAAACATCGAAAATGGTCAGTTGAGTACACCTATGATTCCCACATATCTGAATTAGTAAAGTGGGCACTCTCTCTGCCACTTAATTAAGCTTATTTGCATTGGTATCAAGCACCGGCGGTGCGCCCCAGCTGGTTTCAGTCACTTGTGAGTGTTTTCTCAAACAGCCTTGACTTCTCTTTCCAGTATGTCTTTCCCAGGCTTATTTTGGCAGTCACACTGATGCAAACACCTGCCAAACAACGTGCTCACACCAAATTTCACCATTTCTTCCAGCATTTTTTGGTGGTACATGCAGACTATAGACCTATCTCTATTCCTTCATCAACAGACTGAATCTGGCTCTGCTTCCAACCTGCTCGTTGCTGCTAATACTCACTACAGTGACTATACATCATGCATATTCCATACACAAAGACTATACACCAGTCTCTGTTCCTACATCAATGGACCAGATCTGTCTCTGCTTCCTGCACACATAGCCCCCACAGCAAATCAACAAGGTAACATGCAAAACTTCATAACCTCCTTGTTGCTGCTAACACTCACTACACACCTCTGTTCCCCATGCCTGCCAGTCGCAATTCCCTGGGTGGCGTTTCAAGACGATGCATTGTTCATGTTGGTGGTGGGGGAAAAGTCAAAACACTGCATGCTGGAGCCATTTGCGAATGTGAACAGGATGCACGTGAAGTGCGCTCCACTCTCCTCAAAAGTATGTCCCATTCATACTTCCATTAAGTTTCTCCTAATGCCATCTCTCAGAACTTTATTTGGTGGAGCGCAAGCATTTGTTAAGCACAGAGAGTGGTGGACCGAGCATGATGTTGCAAACACCATCCGACAATTTCAACCTCACTAACTTCTCAACTTATTTCATGGATGCAGATTCTATGGTCCCTCCTCCCGGTGAGGAAGGGTTCTCAGTCAGCCATGCTAGAGATGAAATTTCACTCTACCAGGAGCTCGAGACACTTACAATGACGAAAACACAGTATTACTTTGTCTATCTCTGCATACGATCTCCTCTTACTAAATTGATGAATAGATGACTTGACACCCGCAATCGCAGCGGATGAGTGGCACATCAAGTCACAGAGTGGGCATCACAATACAATGATCTCACAGATGCTTTCTTGGCATACAAGCAAGACTGCACTCCGCCTCCAATCTCTGACAACGAGTCAGAGAATTTTACCATTGAAGTTGTTGATCTTTTTGGTATGCTGTCTATTACAGTAATGTTCGCACATCTAATGTTCTCTTAGAGCATCGCGTCCAAACTTTTAGATCCCTTTCTCCATTCATCAATGTATCCTTACTTTGTTATGGCTGCATAGGCAGTTCACCTATTCGCCCAATGGTTGCGATTACCATTTGTACCCTTGATATGTTCCGACAAAGTCATCAGGTATGCCCAAGATTCAGTATTCACGCTGCAGCAAAGATGCTTTGTTTCATGCATGATGTTAGTGTTTTGTCACCCTCTTGTACATATTCTTAGATTGCCCTAGCTTTGTCATTGTCAGCACCTAGCCGAACAGATGTGCACTGCATTTGATGTCTATCTTGAAATACATTGTCGCATCAATAGCCGACTGCACAAGTTCCTTGGACGTGACACGGAGAATTGGTGCATGCTCAATTCTTGCCCAGCTTGCCAATATAAGCTGGTCGATGAGCCAACTCTGGACTTCTCAATTCTGTGTGCATGTGACGGGAATAACTCAGCAAAACTTGTTGATGCTGCAGTACGTAGCGGTGAGGAACGTCTTGACCCTCGCTCAGGGCTATCATCAATCTGGCTCATGGAGTCGTACATTGACCAATTTAAAGATGAAGTCCAATCTGCTTGGGCACATCAAGCTAGGCAACAACCTAGTGACCCTGATGACCCGTGGATAGACAAACCGGACTCGAACAATTCTGTAGAGCCACCAACCATATGCATTGACCGCTGGCATAATGCAGTGCCCGAATCACGCAAGAAAATGTTCGCTATATTTAAGAAGTCTGGGATATTTGTCACAGTGTGCCAACATGGTTTTCTCCTTACCATCTGTGATATGGTCTGAAGCGGTGGACTGTATTTCAGTTTCACTTATCTGACATTTGATATGCAGGCTAATGCATTGACAGAATGAAATACCCGATCGCTAGCATGAAGAAGCTCATGGATGTCTTTGGCAGCAATATACTTTATGGGTATGATATCAAATGTGCCTTCAAAAAAATTATACCACAGAGCTCACTCACTGATGATGCAAAAGACCTAAACCTGCAGGGCATTGTGCCTGCCTTTCACGGGCATGCCCACAACTGTCTTTGCCAAGTAGAGCACCATTTGAAGTATAAAGTTGGCGCTGGGAAAGAAGATTTCGAGACCTGTGAACGGGTCTTTTCTGAATCTAATGCACTTGCTGCCCAAATTCAAAACACCATGGATTTCCATCACCACCAAGCACTTGATCAACATTTCTCTTTTGCTGATTTGGACAAATATGCAGCCCTATGTATGTCACGTCATTTTTGCAGGGTCCATGCTAACGCTGAATGTAGCTGACTTCATTTATAATAATTACGTCCAAGCGCTGACAATTATCTCTACAACAAACATATTCCTCGCCAACTTCCATGCTTCAAATGCTGCCCTCAAGCCCAACTTCAAAGATGATCTCAAGGACGAGCACCAGGTTTTACAATGCCTTGCATGCAAGAAGGAAGAATCCAGCATTGAAGTTGACTATGTGAAAGCATTGAATGAGTATGACGAGGCCCAGTAAGTTTTTTGTTTGGCCGCACACAGAAACTGATGTTAATATTATGTAAGGCATTCATATGAATCCACATGTGTGGAGTTCAGTATCCTTGATTTATGGGTCAATTATTCTACAAGGGAATCTGGTGACATATGCTGCCATCATTCACATGCTATTAACAAATGTGATCAGAAGCTCGAGGCTGTCATCAATTATGAACATCAAATGGCCCTTGACTTGAGATGGGGTCCAGACCACCCAGAGTGGATCAAGGCACAATCACACATTACCAATTGGCTGTTCCACAAGGCTGTAGACGACATTGAACATTTTGTCATCATGCGTCTGCTTGAGTTGACTAAGTTGCAAATGAGTGGACTAGGTAAGGCTTGACAATATATTTCACATTTTTAACACTTGTCTTCGTAGGTTACAAGCTTTGCATTTAAAAGTTGTGCAAATGCAATTTGAAACACCCTTACTCGATACAACAAATATGCTGCTCTCCTAAGCCCTCCCCGCCCCCCATTACAATGGGACCAGATCGTAGAGTATTCTTTCCTTGCCGAATTTGATTTGCTATGTGAAACAGATGGGAAGATCCAGTCGAAGAGATGGACCAACCCATCTTACTGACACATGTCTACACAATATTGTGAGCACCAGCATGCTAATGAAGAGATTCGTTGGCTGAATGTCAAGGTTGGACGATTACTCACAAAGATGCAAGATGATGCCATTGATTATCCCCGCACCATCACACAACTTCAGTCCAATGACCCACCCCTTGCAGCTGAACTCTGGCGTCGCTGGACACAGCTTCGGTCCATCAATGCATGTCACATTTGGCACATGCCGCAGATTATGCAGCTTCCTGGTTACAGTGGGCCAAAGAGTCCTGGCACTCATGTAGGTCGGGTTGATGTTGTGTGCGCTTATCCCTATGAAGCTGTACCACATGAACAGGATAGAAAGGATGGAGATGGAGATGACACAGAGCTTGGGCAACAGTTGGAAGACGTACAAGCTTACATTGAGGGACTAGATCATCACCGTGTGGACTTAGAACTTGCAGAATAGTAATACCATTGTTTTGTAATAGATTGCAATATGCCTTTGCTGGATTGTGTCATTGGACCATGAAAATGAAACATCTGGAGCGCTGCACATATTTGAATTCAGTAACTCAGACAGTATGCTAATATCAAGTGAGGATTTACAATGCAGATTTGTGGTATATAAATCAGTACTTGATAGAGTGAGTCACTGTATCATTACAGCACAATATTAAGTCATTCTATTGTTGCAGTGTGTCCTCTAACCTGTTAGACTGGAAGTCCTCTACATACAACAGATCTCCTACAGTTGGTGGCTTTGAAGAGTGCAAGGTTCTATTTCCTTGCCCTGAATATCTTCTGGATACGACTGTCACTGGAACTCAGCACTCTTATCTTTGGTACTCACAGATTTCACAATGATGACGGGCATCTAGAGCAAAACAAAGGCTTTCATCCACTTACTAGCGAACACTATCTCACTGGGTTTTCTATATCTCAGACAGTTACAGAGTAGCAGAGGCTTAATAATTGGCGAGCTCAAGCGATTCATGCAGAGCAGATATTGCAAACTATATTTGACCGGGCAAGTGTCATCTCATATTCAGACCTTTCCTTCCACTGAACTGTATGTTCAGTGCACCACTTTAGATAGGTTGACAGGTGGTTCAACAATTGTCCTGCATCATCCTGGTGCTACACCTCCAGCCTTGGACATCTCTCCTGAGAACCTCAAGGCTGAAATCTATATCAATCCCAAAGTGCTCTCGGAGCATTGTGAGCTTCACTCGGTCGTTGCTCAAATTTCTCAACTCTTCATTGCTGACTACGTGACACCTTTGGCCCAAGCCTTCACAGAAAATCGTATTCACAACAATTGGAAAGGCAGCAGCCCAGTCTCTCAAACACCTTCAAAAGGCAAGACAACATCAAAAGGCAAACAAGTTGAAATTGTGCCTCTTATTCCCTCACCTGTTTTACCATCATTGGCGCATTTCACTTTTTATGGATGTCCTCGAGGCTCTTTAGAAGGTCTCATGACTTCAAACTCCAATATCTTATCATATATGCCATCCTATGACAGCAGAATTATGTGGAAGCCAACTCAGATCCGATTATCGCATACTCAGGAGAGCAAGGGTTATCAGGTCCGCAAAGAGGGACTGAGTGGGAGGGCTGTCATATTAGCACAGGATCACAGTGCATGTCAGGTAAATTTAAGTTTGTTTTCACAGTGGAACTATGGTCTAATCGGTCACTCAGCCAGTGACCCCTGCCATTTGCAACCAGTCCTCAAGCAGCCAGGCTGAGAGACGCCACCCTCCGTCAAACAGTGACGATAAATGTTACCCTCCTTCAACAAGTGACCAGGCCTGGAGACATTACCCTCCTACAACTCCTACCAGGAGCAAAAGCACATCCTTTGAATTACCCACACCCACGTTGATCACTGCTAGGTCCCCATCTGATTTGTGGCATTATAGTATGCTGGTGCTTGCTCCTTTTGGGAATGAAACAGAGGTAGTCCTAGAAGAGCTAGGCTACCCAGATCATTTTCATTGGGTCTGCATATCAATCAGCAAAGATTACCTTCTGAAGCAGTGGTTTTTGAAATTGCAGGAGGTTGCTGAGATCTCGGAGGAGCATGTGGAGGCTATTGCAAATGCTATGTTGACTGATTCTCAGGTGTCACTCTCATAATACTTTTTGTAACATTCTTTTTAATCTGGCCTTGTATGATTGTTGAAAATGCTATTTGACCTCTCAGCCTGTCACCTCATTCCCTGTCAGAATTACTGTGATGGTGCTCCCAGGAACTGCTCGCTCGCACAATCCTCGCTGGTTAGTTCCTCAAACATACACCCCATATGTCAAAGTATTGAAAGAAGTATGTCAGCAACTAACAGAGCGACAACAGGCTAAATGCCTTGATGAGGACCAAGAGGTTCAAGCCATTCTCAATTACATTAATGCAAAGGCCACAGATTTGGTGTCTAAGTTCAAACAACCTCGATGCTGCTATCTTGAGAGGTTATCACTTGGTTCTGTTGTCCACCACTGCAAATGCAACAAGACAAGTGCCTGGCATGCCTATATGCACTTCAAAGGCATCCAGAACAATGCCAGTAAGTTTTCCTCATAGTATGACTACTGTGTTTATCGCTAACTACAGCTATTCTAGACAAAAGCTTCAGTGAGAAGTCAAACATCGCCAATCTTGCGAAGATGCGACAATGTATTTCAAGATAGACATCAAATGCAGTGCACATCTGTTCGGCTAGGTGCTGACAATGACAAAGCTAGGGCAATCTAAGAATATGTACAAGAGGGTGACAAAACACTAACATCATGCATGAAACAAAGCATCTTTGCTGCAGCGTGAATACTGAATCTTGGGCATACCTGATGACTTTGTCGGAACATATCAAGGGTACAAATGGTAATCGCAACCATTGGGCGAATAGGTGAACTGCCTATGCAGCCATAACAAAGTAAGGATACATTGATGAATGGAGAAAGGGATCTAAAAGTTTGGACGCGATGCTCTAAGAGAACATTAGATGTGCGAACATTACTGTAATAGACAGCATACCAAAAAGATCAACAACTTCAATGGTAAAATTCTCTGACTCGTTGTCAGAGATTGGAGGCGGAGTGCAGTCTTGCTTGTATGCCAAGAAAGCATCTGTGAGATCATTGTATTGTGATGCCCACTCTGTGACTTGATGTGCCACTCATCCGCTGCGATTGCGGGTGTCAAGTCATCTATTCATCAATTTAGTAAGAGGAGATCGTATGCAGAGATAGACAAAGTAATACTGTGTTTTCGTCATTGTAAGTGTCTCGAGCTCCTGGTAGAGTGAAATTTCATCTCTAGCATGGCTGACTGAGAACCCTTCCTCACCGGGAGGAGGGACCATAGAATCTGCATCCATGAAATAAGTTGAGAAGTTAGTGAGGTTGAAATTGTCGGATGGTGTTTGCAACATCATGCTCGGTCCACCACTCTCTGTGCTTAACAAATGCTTGCGCTCCACCAAATAAAGTTCTGAGAGATGGCATTAGGAGAAACTTAATGGAAGTATGAATGGGACATACTTTTGAGGAGAGTGGAGCGCACTTCACGTGCATCCTGTTCACATTCGCAAATGGCTCCAGCATGCAGTGTTTTGACTTTTCCCCCACCACCAACATGAACAATGCATCGTCTTGAAACGCCACCCAGGGAATTGCGACTGGCAGGCATGGGGAACAGAGGTGTGTAGTGAGTGTTAGCAGCAACAAGGAGGTTATGAAGTTTTGCATGTTACCTTGTTGATTTGCTGTGGGGGCTATGTGTGCAGGAAGCAGAGACAGATCTGGTCCATTGATGTAGGAACAGAGACTGGTGTATAGTCTTTGTGTATGGAATATGCATGATGTATAGTCACTGTAGTGAGTATTAGCAGCAACGAGCAGGTTGGAAGCAGAGCCAGATTCAGTCTGTTGATGAAGGAATAGAGATAGGTCTATAGTCTGCATGTACCACCAAAAAATGCTGGAAGAAATGGTGAAATTTGGTGTGAGCACGTTGTTTGGCAGGTGTTTGCATCAGTGTGACTGCCAAAATAAGCCTGGGAAAGACATACTGGAAAGAGAAGTCAAGGCTGTTTGAGAAAACACTCACAAGTGACTGAAACCAGCTGGGGCGCACCGCCGGTGCTTGATACCAATGCAAATAAGCTTAATTAAGTGGCAGAGAGAGTGCCCACTTTACTAATTCAGATATGTGGGAATCATAGGTGTACTCAACTGACCATTTTCGATGTTTTGGGCATTTGAACTTTTCCCACACTCAATTTCTTATCTATTTCACTTCCTCAGCACTCAATAATTGTTGGATTGTTTTGTAAATTTAGATATATGATAGTGAAGGTATCTGAAATCTACTCCAGGTGTCTGATTATTAAATTTCAATGGTTTGAAAGTATGGGCTTCTTATCAGTAGAAAGAGCAAGCATCTATGGTTGGACATGGGTAAACCCACAGGTATGATCACCCAAACCCACACCCGTACCTGCAAACTACCCATACCCTTACACCCAAGGGTACTGAGGGGTATGGGTCACTGTAAGGGTTACAAACAGGTAGTGGGTACAATGGGTACCTCTGCTACCCGTGCTAGTAATATAATGCTATCCCATTCGTTATTGAGTGCCTTGTCCTATGCATCAGCCTCGGGCAGACTAGCCACGGCGCTAATATCCTTGTCCTTCACTAACCATAATTGACTCCATAGTCCAACACAAAGTAGAGCGTGGGTGGACTGAGCTGAGAGCTGATTTCAGACATGTGACAGGAGCAGGCGTCCACGGCTGAATATTCGTTCAACGTCGACAGATGTTGCTAATATAATATAATTAAAACTGAATTCACCAACAATTAAAACAAAACATACCTGGAATCGTTAAATAGTCAAGCACCATGTGGGAAAGGTGAGGGTAGGTCTTGTGGTGTCCATGCCACCAGGTGATTGGATCTGCGATGTCTTCAATGTCAGTTTTAAGGTAGTTTTCGAGTTCCTCACCACTCATCTTGACATGTGCAAGTGCGGGGAGCCGGTCAAAAATGTTGCCTGATTCATCATCCTGAGTGTTCAAATAAATTAGTATCAAAACAAAAGCAAAAGGGTCGGTACACACCTTATCAACATTATCAGCCACTGCGGGCTCATTGGATTCAATGTCTACTGCGCGCCGAGAACCATATGACTGTTTGAATTCCAAATGAATGAGTTTCTCTGCAGTGTGAATCCACTCTTGTGGCCAGCCTGCAGATCTGGAATATGCTAGCTTATGGCGGGGATGAAGTACTACAATAAAATGAGTGAATATATGTAAAAAAACATACAGACCACATACCCATTGCAATGTGATAGGCTTTGGATGCGTCAGTGAGCAAGTAATAGCAATTGAGAGTGTGCTTGGCCAGTCTGAGACCTGCACAGATTACAGGGTCAAGGTGTTCCTTCTTGATGATGGCGCTGGTGAAGACATGGTCGATGTGATCCATAGCAGGAATCACCATGGCGAGATTCGGCATTGAACGAGAGAAGAAGAGTGTTGCGTCCTTGAGAATCTGTTACAAGGTAAATGTTACTATTAGCTCAAGTTGGCATGTGACGTGTCACATCACAATGATCACATACCTTGAGTACATTGCACAGCTGCTTCACAAGCAGCCATTCATTAGGCTTTAATTCATACTCACCTAGTCCAAGCTTTCTTTTATCTGTAATCACATCAATGCCCTTCCGATATTTGAGAGCAAAGTTCAGCATATCATAAGTGGAGTTCCATTGTGTAGATACATCATGTGGCATGATTCTCACAGCTAACTTCAGATCTTCAAGGATTGATTTCCACGCAGGAAGGAGTATGGTGGTGGAGTGAAGTATTTTGTATGCGAGTTTGCGAAGCTGCAAGGGCATGAGATGCATGGCAAGGTAAGTGATTCATACTCACCTTAATCTATACCACCTTGATTGGATGGATACTGTGCATCAGCTCTGCATGCTCATTTGCGCTCAACAATGCAGCCTCATCAACCCACCCATCCTCATCATCATCTCTATCACCTTCATCATCAACACCACTCGGATCTTCCTGCATTTCAAGCTCTGGAAGATCTTCCTTGTCTTCCTTGTCTTCGGTGAGTGAGCCTTCCTCCACAGTATCACACAACTCATTTCCCTTTTTCTTGAACTCATGGAGTAACGACTTTGCCACTAGATTAACTATGTGCAAGAAATACTGTGTTTGGTTCGTTTTGCCACCAAAACTTGGAAGGATCTTTGCGAGCTTTGCAACAAGTGTGTCGTTTGATGATGCATTGTCTGCTGCGACATTTAATATCTGCATGTCCTTGTGAGGTGAGTTTTCTGTGCTGATATTCGAGTTTCATACCCTATCTGATATTCCAAATTCTTCTAGGATTTCTGCAAACACTTCGGCCAAATTCGCACCTGTATGTGACTATAACTAGTCAGTGGGAGGTATGTCTATATTTCTGTTTACTTTTACCTTCAAAACCTCAACAATATCAAGGATCATGGATAGCGGCTGTCCCTTGTGCTCAAGATGGACGGATACTGTGACATATGCACGATGGTTTGGCGAAGTCCATGCATTGGTCGTGAAGTTCAGCTTGCCAGTATAGTCCTAGTAAGTAATATTATTCCTTCAAAATTATTTGCGCAACATTGATGACTCTCACCTGCAGCATTCTTGCTATATGTCTCCATGATTTAACAAACACCAACCTGACATCTCACGCAACAGTTTTCGGTGTAGGTATGTATTCTGGCCATCCCATTTTCATTAAAGAGATGAATCCTCGATCCTTGACAATCTCAAAGGATTGCAGCCTCTCTGAAACCCATCACACAATCTCGGCACTATTACCTGTGGATTAGTGGCACCCTTGTAGCAAGTGATGTTACACACCAGGATTCTGCTCATGTGTGTTGCTGATGTGAGTAAGTAATTTTTCCCTTGCCTTTGTGATCAAATGAAGCTTTGATTGACCCTGTTTCAAGCAGACTCTTGATTGGCCCATCATGTGCTGCTTTTGTGTTGCCACAATCAACTGCAGCTTGTAATGCTGCATCACCCCAACAGCTCTTCACATGCTTACGCATGTTGGTTGTTGACTTTGTGTCTTTCTTATTAAGGTAACACCGAACTTTGTGGTTGCAGCCATGGGCTGCACATTTGAAAACATGGCAGCAGCGCTGGTTGTGATACTTGATTGCCGGTGTCAGGTGAAAAAAGCATATATAGGTGAGACCCAATCCTTCATGAGTCTTTCTGTAGCCATTTGTAATTAGTACTGATTAATGAGTTTAGAAATCAAACACTACCTAGTTCAGCCTCCAAGGATTCTGCTATATCTTCTACTGAAATTTCCTTGGCCTTTTCAGCATCATCATCAGGGATTTCAATGGCATCTGTGAGAGATGCCTCCTCTTCTTCAGTCCGTACTGTGGCTAAATAGGAAGTTGGGCCTGGGGATGGACTTTTTGTAGCTTGTTCTGAGTTGACAGATGATGCTATTTTGTTATGTATTTTGTTATGTTTAGGTGCAACAATAGTGTTAGAAGCATTGTCTGTTGCCTTCCGCTTGTTTTGGCCCTCAGCAGCCATTGCCAGAAGTTTTTCCTTGGGCTTCTTAGTCCGTTTGGATAACATGACTCGAAATGTTGGTAAGAT